CCATAAATAATGCCTTCCAAGTAGGTGCAAAAATAACAAGAAACATGTAGTAATCTAAGTAATTTATAGGCAATTAATTAAATTAATAAATAAATAAACGAATACGTATTTAATTACTTAAGTTTTTACTTTATCTTTTTATAGAAATATTACCTAGAATAATGTATTTCAAAAGTAATTTACCTATTTCAAAATGTATTTTTTTTAAACAACTAGGTTTTTTAATGTGGGTATAATAAATGTACGCATCAATTGTTTTATTTATTTATATCTAGAAAAATCACTAAAATATGTGTTAGTTTCAAAATAGTAATTAATAAAAACATTGTTTGATTACAAACAAATATGTGAAGTCATCTTTCCAGTTTTTTCTTTTGAAGAGTTTAATAAATGAATAACAGTAGGCCGTGTCAGTAAATTTAGCGGTGCCAATGTAGTAAAAATAAAACGTTGGTATGTTGGTACGTTATTTTTGTGGTTTAAAATTGGTATTTTTTGTCGATAAAATTTAAACTGATAAAAACCGTTCCACATTATTTATTCAATGTTTTGCCTTCGTCTCCACTATGCGCCACAGTTCACCTGTAATTAGGTATTCTATTCTATTTTTGTTTTTAAAGTATATCGATTATCAACAAAATTACAATACTACATGTAAAATTAGAATTTTGGTGTATAAATTTAGTCGGCTTCATTTAATTTTATAATGAAACCTAGGACAAGGTAATTCGTAGTTTAAATTATTTTTTTCACTTCCACCTTTAAAATGCCCTTTAGTTGACAGTTGTCAAATGTCATACAATCGTTAAAATAAATTGCCTTTCTTGTAAAATAATACTAAATGTGAAAATTATTTTATTATCTCAATACAAAAATACCTACAATAGTATATTATGTATCAAGTTTGATAAACGCGATTTTATACACGAATTTAATTTAGGCACGAGCGAGCTTGCGAGCGAGTTCTTAAATTAATGAGTGTATAGAAAAGTTTATAAACGAGGTGCATACTACTTCTACGACAAATACTTATTATCTTAAAATGATTTAAATCAAAAATTTGTATAGAGCGCCATCTATGAAACAACAGGGGAAACTGTCAAATGTCACATTTTTACATTTTATAAACACAATTATAAAGGTTATAAATCGAAATGTATATTGAAAATTGACAGTTTTTCACAGCGAAAGTAAAGGAAATGTTTTATAAGGACTTTACAGTAGAGTCCGTGCCCGAATTTAAGTTATAGTTTACTGCCGGCGAAATTAAAAGGTCAGTACAATGTTCCTATAAACTTTTCAAATATTGGCGTTCAGAAACTATTTAATATTTTTGTATATTTGTATTGAGATAATAAAATAATTTTCACATTCAGTATTATTTTACAAGAAAAGCAATTTATTTTAACGATTGTATGACATTTGACAACTGTCAACTAATTTAAAACTAACTTCAGCCAGTTACTAAAAACCTGTTGCTAACTTCAACCCGTGACTAAAGCGCCATAAAGCCACAACTTGTCAATGTGTATTTAGAAGGTCACTTAGTGTCATGGAAACATGTACGATAAAGGGCGTTTTGAAGGTGAGAGTAGAAAAACTTTTTTATACACTCATTTAATAAATTTTAAATAATTTAAATTCGTGACTAAAATGGCGTTATCAAACTTTTACATAATATACCATTTTATATTTGGTAATTATTTAATGTGTTTTATTTAAAAAACTCTGTTCAAAATGACAAATTAACATAATTTAACAATTAATCACAAAATAAAACGTATTCATTAAAAAAATCATTAACAATATTTAATTGTATGGAAATTAGGAGCATACTGAAGTTAACATTTAATAAACTGCCGATTTGCATTATAAATATTTTTTTTATAACGTGATGATATACAGGATGTTATGAAAAACACCTTGGTAACTCCAGGATATCAATCACTCATTTAAAACAAAAAAATTATGAATTTTAGTCTATTCTGTATTTTTAGGTAAATCAAAATTTATTGTTAAATTACTTATCTCGGCCATTTCAAACATATGAACGGGACTAATCACAAAACTGTTTTTTTAAAAAAAAATAAAAATTAAAAAAACGCAAGAAATATTTTATAAAAGTAGAGATAATTTTAATAATTGAAAGGTGGGACAAGATAAACCTTTTTTTTTGCCCCGTCCACACTTTTTTATTATTAAAATTATCTCTACTTTTATAAAATATTTCTTGCGTTTTTTTTATTTATTGTATAGCCCACAATTTGGATTGTGGTATAGCCTAATAAAAGAAGAATATTTTTGACAATTTTGATGCCAAAATATTGAGGTTAGTTATCTGTCACTTTCAGTAAAATTGAGGTTGAATCTGTCAGTGACACTATATCATAAGATAAATATCGATTGTTAGTCTATTTTCAAGGGATAAATTTTGATTTACACATAAATTTGAGATTTTAACGCCAGTAGATTCTCAAGTTAGAAGTTCTAACGGAAATTCCAATAAATAAAACTATCACTTTTGTACCTTTAAAATTTCCCCTGTAAGAATTTTTTAAACTTAGTGATAATATCTTGCAATTATTGTAATAAAAAAAATTAAAGGATAACATATTTTCTTATCATAATCATTTTAATATTTTGAAGTATAATTGTTAAGTTTAATTAAAATAATAACGGCAATGTTAATGGGGAAAATTACGTCAAAAATGTTATTTTCGTATAGAGGTCGCTTCATACAAATATTTAAATTAAATCATTTTTTAGATAATATTAAGTATTTGTCGTAGAAAATAGTATATTAAAGAAATAATGTCATAAGACGTCATTTTGTCGCACGCGGACAATTTATAAAACGAGCGACGAAGGATCGAGTTTTGTAATGGACGACTGCGACAAAAGGTATTATGAGTTCTTTATGCTATTTTATCTATTTTGCAAAAATTCTATACAAAAAATTAATTTTGTACCTTAAATTTAATTTGGTCGAATTTTACCTTAGATAGTTGGTATCACAGTCATTGGTTTGACAGTTAATGTCAAAATCGAGCCATGCCGTCCTTAATTTACTTATTTACAATAATTGGCTGTTAATGTTAAAGAAGAAAAAAATGATTTTCTTTGGTGTTAAACAAAATTTATTGCCAGAAAAGTCTCGCAAGTAAAAGAAAAATCATAAAAATGTTATAACCAATATGCAAAATATTATGCTGTTTAAAGTATAGCCAACCTATAAAATCAAAATTTTGGGTGGGATAAAATATTTCATTTCAGCACCGAAAGCGGTGTTATAATAAAGTCATCATGAACGCAAAATCAAGTAAGTAAGGCTGGAGACAAGGATGACAAATTATTTTCTGATCAGAGAAAAAGAAACAAACTTTAATTGGGCGTGGTTTAAACCAAGCCATTCGTAATTACTAACCATAGTTGCCAGGTTGTTTTAAATCAGAAGAGAACGATTATAATTATTTAATAAATAGTTTTATTTGTTTGAAACTTTAAAAATAACAAAAAAATTAATAATATGTCAAAAATAATTTGATTTAGTTAATATTAAAAAATAAGAAAAACAACCCTTTTAGGAAACAATAATAGCATATGGCAACAGCGCGGCATGCAGCCAGATACAAGGGCATGCAGTTTGATCTACTGTGTTTGTTCAGTAGCTCCGACGCTGTCGTAGGGAAATGTGTATAGTTTTAAAGAAATACATTTTCGCCATTAACTGGAATTTAATGGATTTTAAACAATACTTTGTTTTTATTTGCAGAAATGCATTAAAACAAAACAAACGAATTCGATAAAAATATAACCTATAAATTCTCAAACAAAAATAATTCTAAAATAACGGATATAACTTCAATCCCTACCACAGTGGGCGGGGTTTGGCACTTGTTTTATTTAAGTGTATCTATTCGTTTTAATACACACTGTATATAACTCGTTTATAAACTTTTCTAGGCACTCATTTAATGGGGTAGTTAAATTTTTTCTGACCTATACTTTTTATGGTTTTATTTAAGGCGTTTTGTAATATTAAACATTTCTGTGAAATCAGAATTTCAATTGAGTTTACCGTTTTCAAGATATTTACAAAAAATATAAATTTTTATGACGTCACAAACCTCGCCATGTGACCAACATTCTAAGATTTCTATTGGTTGAAAATTACCCTGTTGTCAAGTTGTCTTGTTAATGATTTCATTCGGTTATGTCAGGAAATACCCGAAGAGGTTATGTTCAAATACTGTCACTGTCAGTTGAGTGAAAGATGGTCACCAAATTCATTAAGTACCTATATTCCTTATTACGAGGTATCATATTACTGTTTGATATTTTAGAGTCCAAGATATATCTAAAAGAATATAAAAAACTAGGCATTATACTAATGAAATGCATTTACGACAAAATATGATTATAATTATAGGTACTTCTTTATTTGTTTAAAAGCTCCAATGTTCAATGTAACCAACCATTCCACAAGATTCCTCTGCTTTTGAGTCCGTTATTAATAAATCACTAATTTAATATCAATTACAAATAACATAACAATAACATTGATTTTCAATAATCTAAATTAAAAAAAAACAAAACCCATAAAAAAGGTCAAAAAATCAATTCTTCTTCTTCTTCTCAACTAAAATTATAGATCAAGTGGTTTTAAAACTAAAATATTATAACGTGGCGCCATCTATCGTAAGAATCTTAAACTAAACACACTGGCAACCATTGAAAAAGCTGGCAACGTTGTCAATAGCCTAGTGACGTAATTAGGAGATTTTTTTTGTAAATATCTCGAAAACGGTAAACTCAATTGAAATTCCGATTTCACAGAAATGTTTAAAATTACAAAATGCCTTGAATAAAACCATAAAAAGTATAGGTCAGAAAAAATTTAACTACCCCATTAGGCACTCGACCTTTCGAAAATCTAGGACGTGATTTCCTTTACCATTTTGTTCGAATCTTGATGCGATACCTTTTCCATCTCCTTTCAGTGAGCGACCAGGAAGTGAAGCGCGTTCGTGAGGCCTTCAAGCGGCTCACCAACGGTGGCACGCTGCTGGGCCGGCACGCTTTCGTTCAGAACGTGCTAGGGGACGGCGTTCCGCACACCATCGCCGAATGGCTCTATCAAGCATGCGGCGGCGGTCCTAAGGGCATCCAGCTGCGAGATCTAGTCTGCGGGCTGGTGCTCCTCACCAAAGGCACTCAGGAGGAGAAAATCAAGTAAGTAGAACCTGTGTCACTAGCGCCCTCTAGATGTACTATGCTCCACACCTCAAAGTCCCACCACGTGACCACGTACGGAACGCAGTCTTTTGAAAATTTGGCATTTAAGGCTTTTCAGGTTATGTATCTGTCAAAGTATAGTCAACGAAAGAAATAATATTTATAGTGTTACCGCTTATGTTTAAGCGTTAAAAGTTAATAAATCTTTATAGTATCACAATGGTTGGTTTAAGAATTTAGGAGTATAAATACTGCATTTAATGAAATTCCAAAATGTAAGGTGCAATATAAGTGATATTTTTGTGCATTGGGTCTACATTTCTCCATGAAATAGTTTTAACTAAACAGCATTTATTTAAAAAAATCTAACTTCTCTATTATGAAATAAGAATATCTGTATCAAAGGTAGGTTAATGTATTAGAACAAAAAATATCATCTAATTTTGTATTTTAAGGTTAGAAAAATCTATTTTGACCAAAATAAATAAGTGGATTATTTGGAAAAGTGTGTTAATATGGTCATAAACAAATATAGGTATACTAAATAATTGTTGAATATGGTTCAAATTAAATTGATAATAACAAAACTTGTGCATACCTCTCGGCATACCTACTTTAAGTTAGATTATAAGAAAACAAATTTTTTTAGAGAAACTTGCAATGTGAAAATATTTAATACTCCCATGACATGTGATTTATTAAAATTTTTAAAGTTATAATGATTTTTCGATGTAGATCAAATTCAGTCAAAGCTTTTTAACAATTTGTATTGACAAAACTTTATGTAGGTACACTTTAAGCTGGATAATAATAACTACCACATTTTTAAATACCATATTATACAGTCCTTTAAATAATCCAAAATACTTATGTATTTTGGTCAAAATAAATTTTTCTAACCTTAAAATTACAAAATATCTAATATCAAGATATTTTTGTTATAATATATTAACCTACCTTTAAAACAGATATTCTTATTCCATAATAGAAAAGCTAGATTTTTTTTAATAAATGCTGTTTAGTTAAAATTATTGTATGGAGAAAACTAAATATTTGGAGCAAATGCACAAAAATATTACTTATTTGGCACCATGCACTTTAGAATTTCATTAAATGCAGTATTTATATTCTTAAATTCTTAAACCATCCATTGTTATTGTAATGTTACAAAGATTTATACATTTTTAACGCCTAAACATAATATTATTTCTTTCGTTGACTATACTTTGACAGATACATAACCTGAAAAGCCTTAAATGCCAAATTTTTAAAAGACTGCGTTCCGTACGTGGTCACGTGGTGGGACTTTGAGGTGTGGAGCATAATACCATTAAAAACAAAAAAGTTTTTACTCTATCATTTTTGTATTAGACCTACTGTTTTTTAATAATAATAATTTTTACATTTGCTAATAACATAATGTTAACGTATTCCTGCAACAACAGGAAGTAACAAAAAATTAAATCGTCAACCTGAATGTAAGAACAAAGTTAAAGGAATTAGTTTATGTAAACACCAGATAAAAATGTTTTAATGTAATTAAAAATAAACAAAATATAATTGGAACATAGTTGCATAATGTTTTATACAAATTTTTAAAATGGCAATAAAAAATTTTAAGAGTTAATAATTATTCACGATAATTGTAGCAATTTTATAAATATGATAAATATTTTTCTAAATATAAAGAAAATTAAAATGTTTTGATTCTTATTTTTATACATATTTATCTATAATATTTGTCAACGATTTGTTAATGTATTTAAAATTATAACAAACTGTTTGAAACAGGATACTGATATGAAAATAGTATTTTTTAAAATACCAATATAATCAAATGTTTGGAAATGAAGAAACAACACATTATAAATATTTTATTATTATTATATATTATAATTGATTGATAACATAATTATAATAAAAATGTATAATTTTAGATTTCTTTGGACCTTATACAGCAATGATTCCGGCACGCATATATCCAAAAGTGAATTTCAATTTGCACTAAAAGAAGAGGGGGCTTTACCACACGTATCATGGGACATAACCTTAATGTCCCTCTTTGCAGTAGGACAAGACAAAATATCATTTGAAGAATTTCGACAATGGATAATCTACAACAAGGAAGCCACAGTCTTATCCAAATGGTAATGTATATAATTTTTTATTTGGGTGATTTTTTAAATCAAAAAAATTAAAAGAAAAGTTACGATTTTTTTTAAATGTTATAATTTTTTTAAACTTTGACTAAACATAATTTTTAGATAGAAATACAAACAAAATATTCAGCCATATTATAAGAAGTTTTTCAGTTTGTCAATTTTTATTTTTTTTCATTTACTTAATAAAAACTTTGACTTATTCGGCGTTTAATGGTACAAATTTCATAGTAAGAAAACTTTTCAATTAGTTTTTTTTAATTGAAAAATATTTATTTTTAATTTTTGGCAATCTAACTTTGTTTTTATAATAAAATAAATTTAAATAAATATATAAACATAAAGATGCAAAAAGTATTACCATATTTTTTTACACTTTTTTAAAATGTTTATTGTTTCAATAAACTTTGGTAGAAGTTGCCCTACGATGATATTTGCGGCATTAAACGCAGAATAAAGGATTTTTTTTAATCACAAAAATTAAAAGAAAAATTACAAACTTTAAAAATTAATTATTTTTTCTGAAAAACTGTAAATTTTTATGAAATATGACTTTAAATATTTTGTTTGTATTTTTTTATGAAAGTACATTTAAAAACAAAAAAATTTAAAAAAAACTCATCTTGTTTGTCAGTGTTTAACCCAACCGAAAAAAGTTGTGAATTAATTAAGATGGTGCATTTTTTTTAAATGCCAATAACTTTGTTAAAAACTGACTAAACATACTTTTTAAAGTTTGTCAATTTTTATTTTTTTTATTTACTTAATAAAAACTTTGACTTATTCGGCGTTTAATGGCGGAAATTCCGTAGTGGGACAACCTTTTTTTAATTGTAAAATATTTCTTTTATATTTTTTTGCAATCTTACTTTGTTTTTATAATAAAATAAATTTTTAAACATTAAGATGCAAAATGCATTCAACATTTAAAAATATAACCATATTTTTTGACATGTTTACAACAAAATTAGAAAAAAATGTTGAGACGCTTTTTTTAAGGTTTTTGTTGTTAAACATACTTTTTAGATAATAATACAAAGTTTTTCAGGAATAAAACCTTAATTTTAAATTAGTAATTTTAAACCTATTACTATTAATATTAATTAATATTATTAATATAACATTTAAAGCTTTTTACTTTCAACCTTGTCAATTAAAGTTTACACCATTTTAGAATTTTATGAAAAAAACATGTCCCACTGAAATGGCTATCACACAGTTTTATACATACTAAAAAAAATGTTTTACCATGTTTTCTATTCACCTTGTATAATTATTAGACTGGGCCAAAAAAATCGACTATTTTTTTTTTGGAAAGTATATCGAAAATATTGTTTGGGGCGACAAAAAAAAATTATGGTGAAAGTTTGAGTCCATAATATTAATATTAAGAGGTCTATCATCGCAATTTTAGATTTTTTTTTCTTGAGCGAGTTTTTGTTTTAGAACTCCCAAATCATTGAGTTTAACAAAATTGACTTAAGAATATTTTTTGAAGAAAATTAAATGCTCTACAAAAAATGGGAATTTCTCGTCATGAACCCTTTTCTTACAATCATGCCTTAAAAATTGTTATAGTTTTACAATTTGATCTTTTAACTTTGGAATTTTGTAATTCAAGTAAAAATCAGTACCCCGAAAAAAAAAACGATAAATATTCTTATGGGAAATCAAATGCTCTACAAAAAAGTCTTTTTATCATTTTTGGCTAAATTCTCTCCATCAAAAGTTATTCAAGGTTAAACGAAATTTTAACCTTGAATAACTTTTGATTGAGTGATTTAGCCAAAAATGTTAAGAGGCTTTTTTTGTAAAGCATTTGATTTCCCATAAGAATATTTATCGGTTTTTTATGGGTATTGATTTTTTCATGAATTACAAAATTCCAATTTAAAAGATCAAAATGTAAAACTATACCAATTTTTAAGGCATGATTTTAAGGAAACGGTTCATCTGACGGAAAATTTCACTTTAACCTTTTTTGTAGAGCATTTAATTTTCTTCAAAAAATATTCTTAAGTCAATTTTGTTAAACTCAATGGTTTGGTAGTTCTGAGCCTAAAACTTGCTGAGGAAAAAAAAATTAAAATTGCGATGATAGACCTCTTAATATTAATATTATGAACTCAAACTTTCACAATAATTTTTTTTGTCACCTCAAACCATATTTTCGATATACTTTAAAAATGTTTTCTATTCACCTTGTATAATTATAATAAAGAAAATATGACAACATGGCTCGTTAGGTAATTTATAAAAAAATGTTATCAGTAGCAATGATTTAGTGTAGATAACATCTTAAGGTAAATTTAACAACTTCTACTACGATTATATTAATACAATCATAATTTTGTTACCCTTTATTAAAGGTGTAACGTTTATTACAAAAAATTTTTGCTGTGCGCGCAACTTTATGCTTGCTAAAATGTTATAACAGTATACTCTCGGCATAACCTCACTAAAAAAAATATTCGACCGTTTCTATTTAGGCTTCTTTCGAATCCGTGCGTTTCCCTGAGTTCGGAAGTCGAAACGCCAACTTTCTACCAAACTTTGGCGGGCGTGACTCATTTGGAGGAGCAAGATATTTGCGAGCTGGAGAAATGCTTTTGGAACCTGCAAAGTTCCTCCGACACCGGTCATTTGGATTTTAACTGTCTGAAGAAGCTTGTCAGTCCGCCTGTTCCGCAGAAGACATGCAAAGGGTAAGTTTTATTGGGAATTGCGGAATATACAAGGTGTCACTGAAATACCTGCACAAAATAATACCACATATTTCTGTGACCAAAAATAATAGTTATTTATGTCATTAGGTAAGAAGTAAGGCTTTTTGTGCTAAGCTCAAGGTTTGAAGGCCGACGCGTAGCGGAGGTCTACAATTGAGCGAAGCACAAAAAGGCACTTCTTGGCCGAATGGCATACAACATTTTATCTTTAAAGCATTTTATATAGGTCAATTTAATTAACATCAAAGCGGCCTAACCTCACTTTTTTAGAATCTCATTTATTTATTAGCTAAAGATTACATTAAATGTACAATAATTATTATTGCTTTTAGAAGCATTAACAGTTTGACAATACCTAGCAAAATGATTTAAGTAGAAATGAATTTTTGCTATTACATTCAATTCAATTAATTGTTTAATAAATAGGTAGGTATCTAATTTCAATTTGTTTGGATTTTTATTTAAAAAATAGGTAGATTGGAATGTTTAAGCTGTGTTTATCATTTAAGTTCACTGAAAACTTAAAGCAAATTAAAACTTAAAGATAATTTAAATCGTAGAAAAAGAATCGTGCGTTTTCTTGGTTGCCTAACCTCACTTTTTGTTTTATTATTTATATTTAATTTTACAATAATTTAATGAAAAATATTAAACATTAACAGTAAAACAAACAAATTAGTGCTTATTATAAATAAATTAAACCTGTTTAGTACGTTAATTTCTTAGAAAAGGATTAATTTGTCAAAACAATACCCCTAGCGAGAAAAAATCGAACTAATTACTTGCCTCATAAAAGTTTTTATCGGCCTAAGCCATAACAAGGTATTTATTTATCGAATATTGACAACAATAAAGTTTAAATTATAGACCGCGTGGAGATAAATAAATTTACCTCTAAATAAAAGTTGATAACATCCAAGTCAAAGAATGTCAAATTTGAAGTTCGATTTTATCAAATAATTTTGGAATTTTTTTTGCCACATGGTTATTGGACACTTAAGGAATATTATTTATTTAAAATTTATATATGCTGTTGTTTTAAAGATTTTTGTTTTTTTCTTATAAATATATAAAAAGGATAGTTTATTTGTTTAAACTTTATTTACGTTTACTTAAAAATAAGAATATTTGAATTTTTAATAATAGTTTTATAAAAACATGCAAAAAAGTATAGTAATTGGACATACAATTTTTATATAAACCTAACAACTTTACATCAAATAACATAAATTGTTAAATATTTTTTAAAGATAAATTTTTGTAAATATCATATAATTCATATATTTCTTTTTCGGATTCATCATCCCTTTTTTGGATTCTGAAGGTAACCACTAATTTCTTGGTCTGACTTAGTTTGCTGCAAATATCATTAAGTGTGGTATCTCTAGTTTGTGAAGCATTTATAATGTTTAGGCTGGAACAGGATGATTTATATATATATCTAATATTTTTTCGGGTGGTATGTTAAAAGTATTTTCCGAATTTATTAATTTTGTTGCCATTAGTTTTGTATGTTCTCTATCATGCACTGCATTTAAATCACTGTTATTCTGCAAGATGTCCTGTGACGAAGAAATCACTATATTACTTACTCTCTAAAAATGAATTATTCAAAAATGTCATAGCGAAAAAGCAGCCACTAATAATTCTCGTCAACAGCAATTTGTATCCAGGACATTTAGCAGTCAATTCCTATGAAATATTATTTGCTGAATCCAAAAATGTCGTCAAATGTTATAAAAGTAGGACAGTTTTTGAAATATAATCAATTTTACATATAATTGACTATATCTTAAAAACTGCTCAACTTTTATAGTTTTTGACGGTCTTTTTACATAAGAATTGGCTGGTAAATGTCCGGGATACAAATAGAGTATGATATTGGACATATGTCCAATAATAGAAATTTACATTTTTTCCAACCAGTAATTGGACACCGACCATTTTACTGTTTGTTTTCAGAATTAAAATTAAAACGCATTAAAGTGACAATGTTTAAACCATGATGAACACATTTATACCACACACTGATCTGTACACTTTTTAGAAATATTTTTTATTGTAATTTAAACACAGTCCAGCTCTTAACAAAAAAAACAAAAATCTTACCACCAAAGTAACGTGCGAACTTTTTTGTCCTATATTGGACCCAAAATAAAGTAGTTTATATATTATTACCGACTGAGATATTTATAATTGTATACACCGTCATCTAATGATTTGACTTTAAGGTAACTATTTATAGAACTCTTGTTTTTACAGTATTAATGTTAATATGTCCGATAACTTCCGATAACTGTCTACTTTACCCAAATTTATTAAAAACGTGAATATTATTAAAGATGTGATCATTTATTTAAACGTCCCGAAAAAAAACCTAAAAATCAAATTTTCCACAAAGTTATTAAATAAAATAAATTTGGGACACCCTGTGTATTTGAGTGCGTAGCGTGTATAGTTAAAATGTACACTACCAGACATCATGATATTTTTATGATAATTTTATTTTACAATATTTAAAACGCATTTTATTTATATTTTCAACATAGTCAGTTCTTTTAATGAATAATATGATGAAACCTATTAGGACACAAGAGTAAAAGATTCCTATTGATTTATTTTAATGTGTTTTTTTTTATTTTTTAGGTTGTTTAACGCTTTAGATGTAAATAGAGATGATCATGTAGATTTTAAGGAACTTTGTTGCGGTATATCTGCCGCTTGTAGGGGACCAATGGTTGAAAGAATGAAGTGTAAGTACAACATACTTTTTTTTATTTTAATTAAAATTTAATAAGAGTAAAAATTTTAATATTAATATTAAGTTGAAGATTTCATAGCTTTGAATTCAAAATATAAATAAATAAGATTTACTGTGACCTATTAATGATCAATATTATCATTTTTAATTTTAAATATTTTGATAAGTTGTTTTTAGAAATTTGATAAAATTTAAATAATATAATATTTGCAATTTTTTTAATTGATTATTTTAATTACCTAAACTATTATTTGCTTTTTGATTGCTTAAAACAAAATCATGATTGATTATCAATTGGACCCTGATATGCATACAATGGTGGATAGACTTTAAAGTAAAAACAGAGTTTATAAGTATAATATTTTTTTGATTAACCACCACAAGATTTTTTTGTTTTTATATTATATACTTTTTTGTTAAAAAAAATCGATTTTGTTTCCTTTTGTATTTTAATTTTCATTGATGCAAAAACTTTTAATGAACTGAAAATTATTTTATAAATTATTTTACGTTGGTTGGTTCCTTGTTGCATATTGGGGTCCAAATGCGACAATTTTAGTAAACCTATGGAAAAAATATAAAAATCAAAATAAAATGTTCAATAAAATGTTTTTATTTTGTAGGGATTAATTTTGAAATAAGTTTATTTAGAACATTAACATTTTTGTTATTGATTCTCAAATTATTAAAGGTTAAGGAATATGCGGATATTCTCAAGGCCTTTTTAAAAACGTTGTTTATAAGAGCTATTAAAAATGCACCAAACTGTCCAAAATTACCCAAACTCTAAAAGAACTGTCAAATTGTATCAGAAGTATAAATTCGTTGTAAAATTTTATTTCTTAGTTTACGAAATGAAAAAGTTTATTTTGTTTCTTTTATAAAACTTTAAAAAGCATACAGTTAATTTTTTTGGACTCGTGTTTTTTTATTAAGTTGGTATCTTATGCCAGTTTGATTTGGTATTTTTCACAGACCACCAAAACAAATAGACGGATTTGTTTACGTTTAAAAAGCGAGTAAAGCATAGTTTCACATTCTAAACACCGTCGAAAGAAACACGGCTTCCAACGTTGTCAGAAGTATAGATTACACGCCTTTTTGGACGTTCTTCATAACATAATGACAGCATAGAAAAAGGTTGACAGCTTGTTGTTTTGTGTTTTCGTTTGTGTATTTCTATCGTGTTTAAGTTAATTATTGAGTTTAAATACATTATTTTTTACTAAAAATAACAATACATGGAAATATCTTTTGTGAGTACCTACCTACTTATTATATTTGTAATCCCAATATTTGTTCATAATTATTTAAAACATTTATAAACCAATTTGTTTCACTAAACCTAAACTTTGCTGATGATTATTATTTCACTACAAACTTAATTAAATTAAATTATCTCTATTTAAAACCACGGCATGTAACATAAATAAATTTAATTTAAAAAACTATTTTTAAATTATCCCTATTTCAATCAGCTGTCATATTTGTTATATGTCAGCTGTTTTGGAGTACGCAATACGTCACTGGAAGAAAACAAAATTCTATAGCCAATTTAACGCTTATACTGTGACCGTTCGTTGACCGCAAACAAAGCATTGTTATTGAATGGCAATGCGCCGTCCATTTGTTTTAGTGGTCTGGTATTTTTAGTATTTAAAAAATGGTACTTCAGCTGAAGACCTTGATTAAATACTCTGACACTGTCAAATTGACAGTAATATTTATTATTGATAATTTACCTGTTGATTATTAATAACTTTCAATGAAGTTATGCCAAATGTCTCAATGGAAAAAAAGTACATGGCCTTATGGATATTTTTGGAGTAAAAAAGTAACGTTTTTGGTTTTAGTAATATTAAATCGCACATTATTTTCAGCTAATCAGATCAAAATTTTTCGAAATTTTAAAAAATAAGGGGGAAATAAAAAACAAATAAAAATTATTTGCTGTTAGGTTCAACCTTTTTGTGAAAAATCTAGTAGTTAATTTTTCTGTCTTTAAAAATAGCAACCATTTGGTTTGTGTTTTGTTTACCAATTACTGGGCGAGTACAAGGCTGATCCTTGATCTTGCTCACTTCCCAGTTCTTAATGAATAATGATGAGTTACCAAATAAAACCAAATGGAATTCGTTTTGGAACTGATTTATTATTTAAACTATTGATTTATATATATTTCTAAATTGTGACGTGTTTAGAAATCTGTGATTTAACAGTTTGAAAAAGATAAGCAATAATCACGAAACTTTTTCTTCTTTCAATTTGCAAGTTAATGATCATTAATAGTCCTGGACAATATATACATTATAATTATTACTAAGCCACTACAAGTATTAACGTCCAGTGGCTTTAATAAAATACCCATTCACCATTGGAGTCCAATGATTGGACAACATTCACGTGTGTTCACATAAAATTTTAATTTCTTTTATACAAATTCTTTTCAAAGCGAAGATTATTATCCGCTAGGAATACTTTGTCTCTCCTGGGCCTTAGTCACCTATATTTAACTACTTTTTTATATGATTTTACTCGTCTACGCACCACCAAAGCCAAATTAATTGCATTTTTAACCACGAATTTTGACAACTTAACTCTTTTAGTCTGCTTCAAAATCTTCGACACCGATCGCGACAACTACCTGAACCGCGACGAAGTGCAATCCATGGTGGAAACGCTGCGCTTCATAGTGCAAGGCGACAAACGACCTAACAACAACGCGACGCAACAAAAACAACCCGGCAACAACGCCGCCTTGGCGACGGAAACAAACGCGGAAGTCGCGCGCGACGAGCACGAAAAGTCGCTCGCGTCGCTTAAGGCGAAGCTGGACGCGGGCGGCGGCCTCTCCTTGGAGGACTACCTGGTGTGGAGCGTGGAGAGGTTCTCCAGCGGCAGGCAGGAGCACAACAGCCTGCTGGCGCCGCTGTTGGAGCTGCTCTTCCAGGTTTGCCACGTTTCCTTGGGCTTGAAGCCCTACTGTCGGCACAACGAGGCCGAGATCGGTGAGTGATTTTTGTAAATTTTTAGGTTTTAAATTGCCAAAATTTATTTTTTCTTACCATTCAGAAGTTTGTTATTTTTAAATAGTAAATTTAAAAAGTCTAGGAAAAAAATCACCGAAAAAAACAATTTGTATTAAAAGTTAAATCATAATTTTTTTACAACAGTTAAAACGGATTTTGCTACATGCGTATTAAAATAAAGTTTATATATTGGAAAAAAATCCAGCAAATAATAAAATATTTCAAAAACTAAAAATCTAAAATCGTCATAACACATTAATCTACATTTTCATCAATTTTTTTAAATAAAATCATGTACCCAAAATAATTATATTAGGTTATAAAATTAATATTTTTCCTAAAAGGGAACGTCATTAAACTGTCAAATATGATGTTTAAGGTTAATTTGTGAGTATGGTAAACTTGTGGATTATGGTAAATTAACCTTAAAATTGACATTTGACAGTTTGATGACAGCCCTGATAGAATTAAGCTTAATTTTCATGTATCCGGTTGTCCGTCATCCGTTTGTCCGTTTTTCAATAAAATCGTCCGATAAGAAATGTTCTAATTTTCATGCATACGTTTTTAATAGTTATATACGTGTCAAGCTTTTAAATGAATCTTTACGGGCGAGCTGGAAGTTTGTGGGGTGAGCGACGCAGGAGCAAACCCCATATTCAAGTGAGCCTAGTAAAGATTAATTGCAAAGCGTGACACGTACAAACTTTTATTTTCACCTTTAGATAACGATTTTCAAATTTAATTTTTTAATTAATATGTCAAATGTGACATTTCATAAATGACGTTTATTTCCACCTTCTTAGTAAATGACATTTTATAGGTTACCAAGTAAACGATACATTATGGAAACAGACCTGTAAAATTTTACGGGCTTGTTTAAAAGACCTGTAAAGTTTTACAGGCTTGTAGAAAAGCAATTTATGAAATAAAATGTCACATTTGACATATTAATTAAAACTTTAAATTTGAAAATCGTTATCTAAAGGTGAAAATAAAAGTTTGTACGTGTCACGCTTTGCAATTAATCTTTACTAGGCTCACTTGAATATGAGGTTTGCTCCTGCGTCGCTCACCCCACAAACTTCCAGCTCGCCCGTAAAGATTCATTTACAAAGCTTGACACGTAAATAACTATTAACGGATTGATTTGGCGACAAATAGAAGTTAAGTGTCAGTATATTCACTTTACTAAATTTACCTAATGCTTAATTGTCATAGTTACAATTATGTCAACAATTGTAACTTTAACAGTTAGCTGTCAAATAAATTTAAAGGTAGGTAAATATACCTTATAAAAAGAATATACTAGCCTTAATGTACATTAAAATGTATAGTTTTAAAAAAGCAGGTCCTTTTGGTTCTAGTTTTAATTTTTTTTGTCCTTTCTTTTTTTCCGTTATTCTTATTAAATAAAAACATAACAGTAGAACATTATTTACATAACGAACGTAATATTTCCGTTTTACAACAATTGAAAAAATATAAAAATATTTGAAAATAAATTATCTTAAAATAACGTTAGGCGTTACAGATGTGTAGTGACGGATGAGTTAAAGTTATTTTAACTTTCTCTGTCAGACGTACGAAGTTGAAACTTGACGGACCGATAAAATGTCATAATTTTCGAATTATAATTGGACCAATAAGAGCGCGCCCGGATGAACGGACGAATGGACAAACGTATACATGAAAATTAAGCTTTAGAATAAGAGGTACTGCACTTGTCAAATATGGCGAGTTAGTCAGTTAACTTTTTATAACCTAACCTCTCATTCTAAGGCTGTACCACAGACCTACAAACATATTCTTGTTTGAAGACCTACAAACATATTCTTGTTTGAAGGTCTGTGGGCTGTACGCTTTTTATTTGCATACGACTGTACTTTTTGACAGAATCTGGCAACCCTACTCATCTCACAAACTTCCAGCTCGCCCGTAAAGATTTATAAAGCTTGACACGCAAATATCTATAACCTATTTAGGTACCTATTTGTATAAATTTTGCAACCTAAAATCCCATCTCTAGTTATGAGGTACTGCCGTGAAGGCTTGTTGGATAAAAAAATTCCTATTTTGCGAAATTCTTTGTTTTAAAATTAACGATACGCATAGATCGTATCGATACAGTGTTTGCAGAATATGTATCGATATTATACAGGGTGCTATGTAATTAATGTTATATATTAAAATGGGTTGTTCCTTAGGGTCCATAAAGAAGCACCTGAAACTTTTTTTTTCTAAATTCCAAAGACTAAAAATAATTTATAATAACCTTTATCCTACCAAAAAGTACGCCACTGATCGACTAGGAACTTTGGGGTAATCTGGTTGCCTAATTTAATTTATTATGTTATGGTTTGTAACCCTGGTTGGTAACAACAGCCTTTCCAAATTCTGTCAAAAAAGTTGACAAACATTGTTTAAATTTAGCTTAATTACAAAAATGATAAAATTAACAATGCAAATTGTCAATTTGGCGTTTTTATTAATTGTTGGTTATGTCATTTTTGTACTGAAGGTAAATTCAAACTAAATCTGACAACTTTTATGACAGAATCTAGTGCATTTCTTTCAAATTTTAGGTTATGTGCTCAAATTGTAAATATTTTAACACAAATTAAACGTTTAAAGTTTAACCTGGTCCCAATTTCATCTGAGCAAACAGAAAGAACAAAACCGAGGAAAAAATTAATTTTGTGGTTATGGATTTTTTAAAATAGGTACTAAATTAATTTTCTAATCATTGCTTAAGCTAATAGCTGGATGAGTAAAGGGTAATTAGAGATTTAAGGGCATAAAACTTGTATTTATTGAGTTTTTATTTATTTTTTGCAAGAAAAATTTTTAGTAACAATTTTTTACATCTGGCAACGCGCAGCTACTTTGTTGGTTGGTATCTATGTACTCACAGAACACAAGTGTGCAGAGATAAACCAAGTGTGTAACCAGTGGCTTATCACAAAAAATATAAAAAACTTCTAATGCCTATTTTTTCTTTATCTTTGGAAAATTTTTTTTTTTAATATTTTAATTTACTCCTTATGTCAAAAGGTATTCAGTATTTTAATATATAACATTAATTACATAACACCCTGTATGGGCTATGCCTATCGTTATACCTGTCTCTAAGCCGCGCAGTTGTAATAAAAACCTTGACGTATTCAGTGATGGGTTGGCTGGAACGCGAGCAGCGCCGCGGCCTCGACGTCGGCCAGTTCTGGTACCTGATATCTTCCGAGTGGTGGCACAGCTGGTCGAGCTACACTAGCGCGCCGAAAACCTCGCTCGACCACTGCAACTGCAGGCAGAGCGAGTCGTCTTCGCGCGGCGTTCCCGTCGAGGAGGGCATCGTGTGCGACGAGAGCCTGACAAGCAACGCGACCGACTGCACCTCCGCATCGAACGAGTTCAACTCCAACAGCATGGAGTCGATGGGGGATTTGCTCAGCAGAACCGACAGGTGAGATTTGTTTGCGTGTTTTTTGGTCCCAAATCGTTTAAAACGTTCCTATAACACTATGTAACATGATATTTGTTTATCTGGATTTTATTACACAAATCGTAGTAGGCCATGCCCCCGATTACGTAACATACATTTGTTTTTTCAAACTGTCAAATTATCAAAGACAGCCGTCAGATCGTGTTGATGGCTTTGAGTGCCATTACCTCACTAACCCTCACGTAAGATTTTGGCCATTAAACTTTCTTTGTGGACAACATGTAAAAAACATGAATATTTTTTTTTAACAAAAATTGGATTATAATACATATTTTTTAAACTCAAAAGTTAACGTGAGATTTTAAATGGAAGGTTTTCTTGGTAACCACCAAAGAGAAAATTATACTGACCTTGTCAAAGTTTTATTAGGAAGTTTTAAAGAAATGGGATGCCGCATGTCGTTGAAAGTACCTACACTATTTTCATTCGCATCTTGACTTTTTCCGTGAAAATCTGGGAGATGTCAGCGAAGAACATGAAGAAAGATTCCATCAAGATATTTGGGCAATGGAAAAGTGATAACAAGGAAGGTGGGATGTGACAATGATGGGTGACTATGTTTGGAATCTACTTCGGGAAGAAAATGCATCATATAAAAGAAAAAGTCGTATTCAAATTAATTTTTTAGCCCAGATTTAAAGTCTATGTGAAGAAAATATTTTTCTAGATTGTATGTTTTGTTAAAATAATAATTCTGAGTTGAATTTCTTGCCATTTCTTGTCAATATTTTTTTGTTTTTGATAAAACTGGGTTTATTAACCCCTTAAAAAAAATAAAAACCTATCACTACATTTTTTAAATTAAGTTAAGAATAGTTTTTTGGCACACAAATATTGATAATTTAACAAAAAAATCCAATAAACAAAACAAAAAACAAATTTTGTTACATAGTGTAATCAGAGCTGGGAGTATCTAAGATACTTTTTAAAGTAGGTAACTAAGATACTTTTTAAAGTAACTTAGATACTTTTCAGTGTAACTCAGATACTTTCTTAGAGAAAATTGGGGGAATTCAGAATGATTCAAAGTAATTACCTAACCTAAAACTTGTTGAATTTTTATAATTTTATACACTCACAGGCAAAATAATCGATCCACACAAATTTTCGATGAATTTCAATCGCAAATAACTTTTTTATTTCTTTTCGGATTTAAACAAATATTAAAGAATATTGTAGATACATTAATGGAGAATCGCTCACATTTTAAAAATTACTACGTACGTTTATAATATACAGGTATAAACAAAAAGATGTTTTTTACCATAAGTTTAAGACACTCCACATCTATTTTTAACAGTTTTGTTTTTGTTTTACCTTGATATATTTATTTTTGTGGAAAATATGGATTTTTTTTAAAAAACATTGCAATTTTCAATATTTTTCCTGTATGAAGAACCTAAAGTTACTTCTGAGTTACTTTTCTAGGATACTTTAAACAAAATTACTTAGTTACCTCTGAAAACTAGATACTTTGAGTTAAAAGTATCTTTAAATACAAGATACCTTAAAAAGTATCTAAGATACTATCCGAAAGTATCTAAGATACTACACTTACAGGCAAAATAATCGATCCACACAAATTTTCGCCGAATTTCAATCGCAAATAACTTTTTTATTTGATGTCGGATTTAAACGAATATTAAAGAATATTGTAGGACAATCGCTCACAATTTAAAAAATTACTAAAAAACAGACGTACGTTTATAATATACAGGTTTAAACAAAAAGATGTTTTTTACCATAAGTTTAAGACACTCTGTAGAGTGGCAAAACCCTATATTGTTCTAAATTAAGTTTTATTTATCAAGTCACATCTATTCTTAACAGTTTTGTTTTTGGTTCACCTCGATTTATTTATTTTTGTGGAAAATATGGATTTTTTTAAAAAACATTGCAATTTGCCTATGGAGGATGACAGTGACAGTTTTGTTGAATCATCCCATACTTGGTCATATACAACTTTCAAAAGCTATCAAATTGTTTTTTGTAAATTAATGTGTTAATTTTGAGGTGTCTTCATACTTTTAAAAATGTCTCCGACCGATGTTGCCCTTTGTACTTTACTTCTTGTGACGTTTAAAACACTTGCCACGTAATACTGTGACCGTCCATCCTGGATTAAATTAATGGCTCTGGCAACATCAGTCGGAGACATATACATTTTTTAAAGTAAGAAGACAAAATTTAAACATTAATTTGAAAAAAACAATTTTATAGCTTTTGAAAGCCGTGTATGACATGTCAAAGTATGAGATGATTCAACAAAACTGTCACTGTCATCCTCCATAGGCTATGGATGGACCATAGCAACCTTAATTCTTCATACATTAAAAATATTGGAAATTGCAATGTTTTTTTAAAAAAATCCATATTTTCCACAAATTAAATACATTAAGGTGAACCAAAAACAAAACTGTTAAAAATAGATGTGACTTAATAATTAAAACTTAATTTAGAACAATCCCAAGTAGCACAATTAGTTAAATTAACGTTAAATTTACGTTATGACTGGTTAATTCATTTAAGTAATATTGTACTACAACGTTATATTAACCTTAAATTAACGATATTTTGTAATAAGTGGGGAATTCAATTATGGTAAAATTAACGTTATGTTAGTTAAATGTAACTTCTTGGTTAATGTACCTTTTGGTTAACAAGAAGTTAATATTTGGTAGTTTATGGTTTATTCTACCCTTTTTTAACTACTTTTTAACTCTTAAGTTTACTTAAACTATAATTAACCGGTTTAAGTTTATTTGAACTATATAATAATTAAATATGGTTATGTATATCTATAGATATGACTTACAGATCCTTAGAATAAAATGTCGCCCTAAATATTAATACTCATATATAAATATATATATTAATTGATGTCTTAATGTTTAAAGGGAAAAACCAATGGGGCATTTTTTTTTTGATAAAATAGTACATAATACTTTCATATTTTAAATGCGCTTTGAAAAAAATAAGAAATAAAGAAAATAAAAATTAAAAAAAATATTTTTGGTTGCCTAATTTTTCTTTATTTTGTTTAAAATTGATTTAAAATACCCTTAAACATAAAATAATATTATGTTTTATTATTGGTTTGTTTACATTAGGGGCATTCCACGTTACTCGGTAATTTTTGTCCCGCCCGTCACAATTGAAAATTGTGAGTAAAAACCACAAGTTATAAAATTAATATTTTATAACATTATTTTTATTGTGCTTATAACTTATTAAAAGCATAATAAAACAATATTTTTAAATAAATTTTATAACGTGTAGTTTTTACTCACAATTTTAAATTGTGACGGGCGGGACAAAAATCCCCGAGTAACGTGGAATGACCCATTACCTTATTTTTGGAATAAAACAAATTATTAAAATTAATGGCGTTTCCTTTTGTTAGAATGGACAGCAAACAACATGGCGATTTTATGATGCTTTTACTTATTGGTTACATAACCAATATAAATTAACCTGCAAGTTTATTTAAACCATTTGGTTATTTTATTGTGTTTAATTTAACTACTTTATTTACCTATCAGTAATTTATAACTCTTTGGTTTTGGTTTAAATTCGGTTAATGTAACACATTATAGTTAATAATTACCAAAATTAGTAATGAATGTTATTTTTAAAATAACTAACCTAAAAAAATTCCCGCCGATTTTACGTTCTGATTTTTGTTGCAGCACTGCTTTATTTTTATATCTGTTCTGTTATAAACGTTTTTAATATAATATATACCCTGTGATCTGTAAGTTTACCTAATCAAAGGTAATAAAAAATGTATTTCTTGTAGGCTCCATTATCACAGTAAACTCACAACAAAAGGTTTATAGATAAAGCTGTATTGAGACAAATTTTTATATAAGTACAGGTAACAATGAAAACTGCAAAACCATCACTTTTTTAACCAGTTTATTAATTAACGTTAATTTACCAGCGAGTTAAAACATATTTGGTAAAATATAACTTGTTGGTTAAAAAAATATATCCAAATTAACCAAAGCTGTGGTTAATTTACCAAAAAGTTAAATTAAAAGTTAAACTAAACCTAAATATGTCTAAAAAAAATAACTACTCTTAACTATTTCCAATAGTTAAAATTAGCAGTTAATATAACGTTATCTAACTTCTAAAATAACCTACTTTTTATCTTTTAAGTAATATAACCAACTAGTTAAATATTTGGTTTATTTATAGTCAATTTAAACTCTTGAAATATCCTTAATTTACCTAACGGTAAATTTAGGTTATTTCAAGAGTTTAAATTGACTATAAATAAACCAAATAATTAACCTGTTGGTAATATTACCAATGGGTTTTGTTTATTAGTTAAATTATACTAAAAAATAACCTTTGAGTTTACCTTAAGGTTATAGCAACCGGTTGGTAAATTTAAAGGGTTATTTTATAGTTCATAGTAACCTTAAAAAAATGTTAATGGTTGACTACAACTAATTGGTTAAAAAACAAGTTTTAAAAAACGTTATTTTACTTAGATTTTGGTTAATTTACTTAGAATGCTAGTTATTTAACTAGTTGTGCTACTTGGGATATACGGTTTTTCCACTCTACAGAGTGTCTTAAACTTATGGTAAAAAACATCTTTTTGTTTAAACCTGTATATTATAAACGTACGTGTATTTTTTAGTATTTTTTAAAATGTGAGCGATTCTCCATTAATGTATCTACAATATTCTTTAATATTCGTTTAAATCCGACATCAAATAAAAAAGTTATTTGCGATTGAAGTTCATCGAAAATTTGTGTGGATCGATTATTTTGCCTGTGAGTGTATTTGTATAAAATCAAACGTTTGCATTGAATAAAAAAAATTCCATAAATCCTTTTAAGGTTGTAAGTTTAAAATATTAGTCGGTTGTGTTTAAACCTTAAACCGATCTATTTTTTTTTAAATATAGTTGCAGCATAGCTTCGAGTTCCGGCGTATCGAGCAGTTCTGGAACGGGTTCGAAAAGATGTCAACACATACCGGGACCAATTGACAATTCAAATTTGGTCGAGGAACCACTGTACAAAGTACCGACACTCACAGGAGAAGGTAAAACTAATACGGCGCGTTTTACAAGCTTTGGAAACCATAAAAATATAGAGTCATTCCAAATAAAAACACCAAATGGGGTGCGCTGCTTGATTTTTTATTTTGATAAAAAAAATTGAGGATGATCTTTTAGGTATCAAATATGAAAATCCGTTGCCGTTTTAATTTTTGGATTCTTTACTTTTAATCGGCACCCTTTAGAAATCTGAAATCGTGTCAATTTCTTACTCTCTTATAGTGGGCCAGAACTTTTTTCCTGTGACAAATATTGAAATGATTTTAATTTTGTTTTACTGTTCAGTAAGTGTGTTTTCGATATAAATTATTATTATCCAATTAGTTAATCTCTTAAAGAATGGTAAACCACTAAAGATTCATGATAATTTGCCAATTTTTGTAATTTTTGTCTGGCTCCTGTGCCTATTCTACTAAATCTAGAAAGCTATTTTTTTCAGGTATCAAGTACTTATACAATAGAAAACGTAACTATTATTTTAAGTTTCTAGACTATCATTTTCTTTATTAAAAAAATTATTGAAACTTGATAATTCTTAAAATTAGTCAATTTTGCCCTCAGAAATCATTATGTTGAGGAAAAAAATAAAAATCTGAAACTTTCAGGAAATGTAGTCCCCACCTTCATCTTTTCAGTCCAGTTAGTCTTGTTTTGTTATTTTTATTCCTTTAAAAGATATATTATTTTTTTAATGCCCGTTTAATAGCGATACTGTTAGTTTTATTTATAATTTAAAATTTAGATGGCTTTCATGTTTGGTGGAAAAGTGTCAGAAGTGTCAAAAATATTTCATAAATATTATTTGTGCGTATTTTTTTGGTAAATTTTGTATATAACATAATATGTCATATTATGTTATATACAAAACTTTTTAAAATCACCAAAGGAATACCACAAATAATAATTATGAAATATTTTTGACAGTTCTGACATTTCTCTACCAAACATGAATTGACTTAGTCAAAGCCATCTAAATTTTAAATTATAAATAAAACTAACAATATTGCTTCTTAACTGCATTAAAAAAATTATTATATCTTTTACATGGATAAAAATAACAAAACAAGACTAACTAGACTGAAAAGATGACGGTGGGGACTACATTTCAGATTTTTATTTTTTCCTCAACATAATGATTTCTGAGGGCTAAATTGGCTAATTTTGAAAATTATCAAGTTTCAAAAATTTTTTTAGTAAAGAAAATGATAGTCTAGAAACTTAAAATAATAGTTACGTTTTCTATTGTATAAGTACTTGATACCTGAAAAACTTTCTAGATTTAGCAGAATAGGCACAGGAGCCAGACAAAAAGCACAAAAATTGGCAAATTATTACAAATCTTTAGTGGTTTACCATTCTTTTATGAGATGAACTAATTAGATAATAATAATTAATATTGAAAACATACTTACTAGGCAGTAAAATAAAATTACAATCATTTCAATAATTGCCACAGAAAAAAAGTTTTAGCCGCTTATAAGAGAGTAAGAAAATGACACGATTTCAGGTTTCTAAAGGGTGCCGATTAAAAATAAAGCAACGGTTTTTCATATATGATACCTAAAATATCATCCTCAAATTTTTTCATTAAAATAAAAAATCATGCAGCGCACTTTTAAATTCATTTTTGGTGTTTTCATTTGGATTGACTCTATAGAGACTTAAAGCATGATCAAATCGCAGACAGTGTAGTTAAAAGGTAAAACATTTTTAGGAGGAAGACTTAGGAGAGACACGCCTTTGGTGCAGCACCGCGATTTCGAGTTGGTTCCGGACTCGCTTTGGAAAGCCCTGTCCATGTGGTATGGAGGTCATCTGCCCCTGCCTAGGCAGGTTATAAGACCGCCCGGTAGGTCTGAGGTGGACCTCGAGTTGTACCCCCTCAACTTGAGGATACTGAGGCACCACGCGCAGTCGCAGGGAAGTGGGGGATCCACCGTCACCAGTTGGAGTAGCGTCGTTGGGGGGTAAGAAAATTATTTTTTTTATTTTGAATTTTTTTATGGTTAAAAAACTTAATATATGGGTCATTTCACCAAATATACGGAGAAATAGTACTTTTCAAAAATGTTATTTACATTTCTGACCCATATGTCGAAAAAAAAACTGTAAAAATTGGGAAAAAACAGTTTTCTTTCTTTTTTCCCAGGCCTTGGAAATTATTTTTTTTCAATTGAATTTTCTTGGAAAATAACAAAATATCCTTTATGACAGAAAAAACAAATAAAATTTAACAAAATGCAGTTAATTACCTCTCAGTTTTCTTTCTTTTTTCCCAGCCCTTGGAAATTATTTTTTTAATTGAATTTTCTTGGAAAATAACAAAATATCCTTTATGACAGAAAAAACAAATAAAATTTAACAAAATGGAGTTAATTGCCTCTCAGTTTTCTTTCTTTTTTCCCAGCCCTTGGAAATTATTTTTTTAATTGAATTTTCTTGGAAAATAACAAAATATCCTTTATAGCAGAAAAAACAAATACAATTTAACAAAATGCATTTAATTGCCTCTCAGTTTTCTTTCTTTTTTCCCAGGCCTTGGAAATTATTTTTTTTAATTGAATTTTCTTGGAAAATAACAAAATATCCTTTATGACAAAAAAAAACAAATAAAATTTAACAAAATGCATTTAATTGCCTCTCAGTTTTCTTTCTTTTTTCCCAGCCCTTGGAAATTATTTTTTTTAATTGAATTTTCTTGGAAAATAACCCTTATTGAAGTGTATTCAAGAAAGATACCTAATTCATCTTTAATTTCGTCCTCTGATGAATTCAAATTTTCCCGACAGATCAGTGTTTTTGTTTTTAGGTTAAGTCTTATTGTGATCTTTTTTGTGTTTCTTTTGATAATTTGCCTTCAAAATTTATTTCCAAATTTTGCTCCACAGCAAAAAGTTTTTTCCGTATTATTACTTAATAAAAATGTATACACATCTAATTAAGGACAAGTCAAGGGTGAAAATGTTTTTTTAAATTTACAGCTAAAAATAAAACTTGGAGCTCTCTATAATTTTCATGTTTTATATTCTTTCCAAGTACATTTGGTAAATGATGTTAAGTTAACATTGTTAACTGAAAAAAAAGATTTTAAACGTGTTTTTTTTAAATACCATATTTTTGTCCCTATTTGGAAAGTTTATAATAAATACTTTTTAATAAATTCTATGAAAAAAACCATTTAACAATAATAAACACACAAAATGATGACACTTTACAATCCACACAAGGTCTGTTCTATCTCATGCTAAAAATACTAAAAATCACTGCAACACATAGATGACCGAAGGTATAGATAGCCGACTCTCGTTAGAAAATCGAAACAAAGTTAATTTAACAGCGGATATCACCGCCCGTGGCGCTGCAAGCAGATCCATTCTAGATAGCGACATCTATTGTCCAAGGGCTTTACTAACAGTTTAAACCGCCTGAAATCTACAGTGCGACATCTAGTGTGTGATATCTGTACTTAAATCTCCTTGAATTTTAAAATTGTAAACCGTAAAAATTTTGTTTTAAATACAAATCTGGCTCGAATGAAACTGACTAACAAATATATTTAAATCTGTTATTTTTTTTTTAAACTTTTAGAAATTAATTATTATATTGTGAGACAATGAGTCCTTATAAAAAAAAATTTAATATTAAAACCATTGCCTAGAAATTTTAAACAAACATATTTAAATATGTTGTATTTTCAGATGTCCAATAAGATTTGGTAAGCTTTATTATAAAATTCACCCATTTTAAAAGAAAACAAAATTTAATATAACATTACTAAGGCTTGAAGATGTTTGCATTTTATAATGAATTCTATCAAATCCAATAGAAATACTTATTGGTAAGTTTCATACTAATCAAATTTGTATTTTAAACAAACTTCTCACAGTTTACAATTACAATATTTAAGGCAATTTAAAAGTTCTCATATTAATCACTAAATGTAACATTGTAGATTACAGGAGGCGATATAAAATAACTGTATTAATTAATAATGAGTTTGAAAAATCCTTGAATTAGGAAAATGTAATAAAACAAACAAATTATGATTTTATATATTTTTTTAATGAAGTATATAAAAATAAAGTTTATATAAAACAAAGCAAATATAATAATATAAAAATAAATTTAACAATTATAAAACAAAGCAAATAAGCATTAATGTCTAAACAAAAAAAAATTACTAATTTAGTTAACAATCTTTTTTAAATTTTAAATAGCCTCCTGCTTCTTCTTGGACTCATTTTTTACCTATTTATAAGGCATTTTTTTATATATTGTATTGGTTATTTCTAAAGTTAACTAACTTACGTCAGGATCCTTAGGAAACGAGTGTAATACTGCCTCGTTACTTGTATTTCTACAATTAACAACAGCACATTTAAACACCATTGCATTGCATTGGTTTTTCTATGCACCATTGTAAAAAAGTCAAACTAACAAAATCGCACAAAAGAAAAACTTGTAAACTGGTAAAAAAGTCAAACTAACAAAAACGCACAAAAGGAAAACTTGTTTGTCTAGAACAAAGCTGGAACAAAACCTTCGGTCATCTATGAACACAACAATAATGGGGTCTCTAAAGTTTAAACGAAAAATTGACAAATTGTCAAAATGACAAAGATGCCACCTAAGTGTTATTTAAATTCTGCTGCTTCAGCGCTATAATCGATCCTATCCGCAACTAATTTTAAGGTCTGAAAAGGAAGGGGGGAGTGAGCATAGCATGCTGCAACACTGCACAGAGTTTAACGGCGGCCATTTTTGTTGTTTACAGTTCTTGTGCTTTGGGTTTGTGCTGTTTAATAATTGGTTTAAACGTTGTGTTTCTTACAGAGGCACTTGTAAGCCTCAAATAAGGCCTTTAAGTGCTAAGGACAACCATTTTACTCCTCTTTTATAAAAAATATACCTTATTCCATCATGGCTGTTAAATGTCAATTTGAAGGTTAATTTGTGGGTTATAAATTAACCTTAAAATTGACATTTGACAGTTTGATGACAGCCCTGATAGAATAGGCTTTATTTTTTACAAAAGAGGAGTTAAATGGCTTGTTTTAGCACTTTAAGGTCTCTGCTAAGAAACACAACGTTTAAAACGATTATTAATCTGTATAAACAGTGCACAAACCCAGCACAAAAATTGTAAACAACAAAAATGGCCGCCGTTGAACTCTGTGCAGTGATTTTTAGTATTTTTAGTACGGAATAAAACAGACCTTGTTTTGTGGATTGTGCTTTAGAATTTATAATAGCATGTTTATAACAGCGAGAATTTGGCAACATCGTATTTCTACCACGATGGTCAGCGTTTTTATCATAAACATACAGATGGTTTTATAACGTTTATCATTATTCACGGAAAAAAACTTTGATAAATTTTGAATTGTGTTTTTTTTTCTATGCAGAGTGGTAGGAGGGTGAGTATTTTATTCTCTAATCCATTTAGATAATATCCATACAATTTTCCACAATTTAGCATCCGAAAAATATTTACTTACTTTGCTGCTTCACATTGATGGTAGTGAAATAGCTATTTGTGTATCAAGATCGCAAAATGATATATTGTCGCTCTAAACGAGAAGTTTGACTATCTCGCGAGATCAGCAATGTCAGTTTGCGCTCGAATTACACACAGGATTTTTTCTACAACCGGTGTTTTTATAAAAATGTTAATAATTAATAACGCTGTGTCTAGTCTCACGCTAGCGTGAACGCAATTTTATTCTTATTCTCACGCGGTGACGTCACTAAAGGTAACATAACCTAAGATTCTTTCAAGAATCTAATTTGTTCTGTGAATCTAATTTTTGCGGTTTTGAGGTTTTTTAAACGTTTGTCGATTTGTGAAATGTGCCCTGTTACAAGTGTAAGTAAAATGTATTGCCATGGACAAAAACAACAATAATGATGAGTTAAAACTAACTATTGGAAAATCGTTCATTTTGCCCATTTTAGTTGGGTTTTTTGCTCAATGGGGCGGGGTCGGTTGGGTTGTGTTGTTGAGTTTGGGTTGGTTTGGCTGCAATAAAAGAGTCTCGATGTTATTATTAGTAAATTTTATTACATTTACATAAAATCAAATCAAATGACATAATCAAATAATAATAAAATCAAATGACACGACACCTAAAAAGTAAAATTAAATAAAATAATGCTGGCAGAATTATGTCCACTACACATGGGCTTTTTCTATTTTCGCCCCCCCCCTCAGTAGATGTCTAAAACCGCCCCTGGACAAAATTTGCAGCCTTAGGTTTAACCAAAAACCAAAAGGCTTTAATCTGTATTTATACGAAGTTAACGTGAAACTAAAATTAAAATTATTTTGACGTTAGCGTGAGAATAAAAATTAAATTGCGTTCACGTTAGCGTGAGAATAAGAATAAAATTGCGTTCACGCTAATAATTATGGCACCTTTTCGTAAATACTGTTGTGCTTATGTTTATATTTTTAACGATTGCAGCTATGGTGCAGCAGCCCTGAGCACCGCCGGCTTAAACTCATCTCCTGTAAATACTTCACCGCGTCGTTACCTCGCTCACACGGCGACGTTCTCACGTTTGGCAACAGTGCAACAGGTAAGCGCCGAAAATGTGTAGTTACTTTGTCGGGTGAAGAAAAAACAAGACGGTCAATCTTCCTAAAACTTTGTAAATGTCTTTTATCTCCACGCGGTCTATAACCCTAGTAGCAATTCCGGAAAAGTCTTGGCCCAGCATGTGTCAAGATACTTTGGACAGATTTTTGCTCAAGAATTGTACAAGAATTGTTCCAGATTCTTGGCCAAGATTATTGGGCAAGACTTGAGCCAGACTGTGGCCAGAATTTGACAAGAATTTGACCAGAAATCTGAGGCCATCTTTTGCTAAACTTTGGGACTATCCTATAGAGTAGAGGTTCTCATTCTACAGTAGTATCATTCACAATAATGTATACTAGTCGAGAAGTGAGTTCTCTGTAGGAAATGAGTATAGTTTTTTTGTTTATGTGGAAATACGAATAAGAGCTTATTGGATTCGTCTTCTAGCTGAGAAAAAAATTGATTTTTTGAAAAAAAAAAAATTGGTATTTCTAAAAATCAAAAATTAAAAAAAAGTGTGTGTCAGCTCTGACCAGTGATGTGCCTTTACGCGTAAATAATTCATTTTGTATTGTTGACGTAAAGAATTCGTCAAGAAAACGTAAAAAATGTAAAGAAAGTAAGTAAGTAAATAATGTAAAGAATAAAAAAAAATGAGGTTATGTTTGTTTAGTTCTGTGAAATGTCGACAGTCAATTTATAATTCTTTTGAGTTTTGTGCATAGAAGATGGCCGGTAGGAAACAAAATACTAATATTTATAATTAACTGCGTTTCACCCTGATTAAAATAAACTTTTACTATTTGTTTGTATCTTTAAAGAAAGTAAAATTTTTTTAAATGAGATATTTCTTTTATTAAAATTAAGAAGTAAAAACCCCGGTATAAATATTTATAAGCTGAAATATTTATTTTAAAAGAATTAGATAAATAAATAAAACAATTGGAATTAAAATAAATAGGTTATTAACCTTATTTTACGTATTTTTTTTACATTTTTTCATTCTTTACATTTGTTACGTAAATAATTAGTCGTGTAAAGAATTGATTTATTACGCGTAAAGAATGACGTAAAGAATGAACGTAAACTTTACGGCACATCACTGGCTCTGACGCATAACTAGAGTTTACTCTTTATGAACATGAAAGATTATAAAATACATGTTTATTTTTACGGGCACCTGTTTTTTTTTAACATAGAAAATTAAAAACTTTAACTCTTTCAAAATTTGTTTCGTTTTTAATTCTATTGTTTACCAGATTTATGGATAAAAACCGAATTTACTGGAAAGAAATCGTGGAAAATTAATGTTTTTAGTAACATTCTTAACTTTTGAAGTTCAACAAAATTTTGTATTGACCAAAAATCTTGAATTGAAAGTTCCTATTTAACGTGTAATCGTGTAAAAATTCTTGGCCAAGAATCTGGTCAAATTATGGTCACAGACTTGTCCAAGTCTGCCACCAGTCTGGATAAAGAATTTTGATCAAGAGTCTTGGTCAAGAATTGTCCAATTCTTTACAAAGTGCTTCTCCAAGTATCTTGTCAAAGAATCTTGTCCAATTCCATTGCTACTAGGGAATTTAAACTTTATGGTTTTCAACATTCGATAAAGAAATACCTTGTTATGGCCAAGGCCGATAAAATTTTTTATTGGGAAAGTAATTAGTTCGATTTTTTCTCGCTAGGGGTATTGTTTTGACAAATTAATTAATTAATTTTCTAAGAAATGAACGTACTAAACTGGTTTAATTTATTTATAATAAGCACTAATTTGTTTGTTTTACTGTTAATGTTTAATATTTTTCATTAAATTATTGTAAAATTAAATATGAATAATAAAACAAAAAGTGAGGTTAGGCAACCAAGAAAACGCACGATTATTTTTCTACGATTTAAATTATCTTTAAGTTTTAATTTGCTTTAAGTTTTCAGTGAAATTAAATGTTAAACACAGCTTAAACATTCCAAACTACCTATTTTTTAAATAAAAATCCAAACAAATTGAAATTGGATACCTACCTATTTATTAAACAATTAATTGAATTCAATGTAATAGCAAACATCCATTTCTACTTAAATCATGTAGCTAGGTATTGTCAAACTATTATTACTGCTTCTAAAAGCAATAAGAATTATTGTACATTTAATGTAATCTTTAGCTAATAAATAAATGAGATTCTAAAAAAGTGAGGTTAGGCCGCTTTGATGTTGAATTAAATTGACCTATATAAAGTGCTTTGAAGATAAAATGTTGTATGCCATTCGGCCAAGAAGTGCCTTTTTGAGCTTAGCACAAAAAGCCTTACTTCTTAACCTAATGACATAAATAACTATTAAGTAGACCCTACTACAACCTAGAACTTTGTTCTTAGGTTATAGAGTTCCTCTGCGGTCGCTTGGGTTTAAAATTCGAAGACGCCCGCTTGTGGCATTTGAGGGATCGCTCGTCGAGCTTGATGGACGACGATAATGCGACGTTGCAAGAACTGGGCATCGCCGACTCCGATCGCTTGCTGATTGAGGTTAGAAACGGCGATCTGACGTGGCCCGAAGAAATGGGCGCTCTGGCCGCCAACGGCGGCGTAGAAATCGGCTTGAGCGTCGAAAGGTAAGAGACACATTTTTTTTTTAATTGTAGGTAAATGTTTACTACATACAAAAAAATATAAAAAATATAAAAAATTAAGTGAATTCACTCAATTTTTTTGAAATTGTTTTTTCTAAAAAAAGCCAAAAAAATTGAGGTCAAATATTTGACATTGCCACAGTTTTTTTAATTTATATTTTTTCATTCACTTCATTTTTCGCCGTAAATGCTTTTAAGTAAATTAATTAAATTATTAAAGATTTTATAGTAAAATGTAAATTCTTAATACTTTTGCATGTGTTACTTTTAAAAGATGTAAAAAGTATACTTAAGTTAATTTTGATAAACCACATAATTATTGGAATATTATTTATTTAAAATGCCATAGTTTTAAAGATTTCAGTTTTTTTCTTATAATTATATAAAAGGGATAGTTTGTTTGTTTAAACTTTATTTACGTTTACTTCAAAATAAGAATATTTGAATTTTTAATAATAGTTTTATTAAAACATGCAAAAAAGAATATTAATTGGACATTTTATATAGTAATTGGACACACGGACCATAGTTATTGGACATACAATTTATATATAAACATAACAACTTTACATCAAATAACATAAATTGTTTAATTGCTGTTTTAGCTAATTTTTTTATTTCATTTTTGTAAATATGATATAATTCATATATTTATTTTATTTATTTCTCGAATTCCTCATCCCTTTTCTGGATTCTGAAGGTACTACTAATTCCTTGGTCTAACTTTTGAAATAGTTTATATATATCTAATATTTTTTCGGGTGGTATGTTAAAAGTATTTTCCGAATTTATTAATTTTGTTGCCATTAGTTTTTTATGTCCTCTATCATGCTCTGTATTTAAATCACTGTTATTCTGCAAGATGTCCTGTGACGAAGAAATCACTATATCTAACTCTAAAAATGAATTAGTCAAAAATGTCATAGCGAAAAAGCAGCCACTAAATAATTCTCGTCAACAGCAATTTGTATCTAGGACATTTAGCAGTCAATTTCTACGAAATATTATTCGCTGAATCCGAAAATGTCGTCAAAAGTAGAACAGTTTTGAAATATAATTAATTTTACATATAATATGGAATTGACTATATCTCAAAAACTGCTTAACTTTTATAGTTTTTGACGGCCTTTTCGGATTCAGGGGACAATTTTATATAAGAATTGGCGGGATATAAATATAGTATGATATTGGACATGTCCAATAATAGACATTTACATTTTTTTACCAACCAGTGATTGGACATTTTACTGTTTGTTTTCAAAATTAAAATTAAAACGCATTAATTTCTTCATCACAGGAAATCTTGCAGAATAACAGTGATTTAAATACAGTGCATGATAGAGAACGTAAAAAACCAATCGCAACAAAATTAATAAATTCGGAAAATACTTTTAACATACCACCCGAAAAAATATTAGATATATATATAAATCATCCTGTTCCGGCCTAAACATTATAAATGCTTCACAAACTAGAGATACCACACTTAATGATATTTGCAACAAACTATTTCAGAAGTGAGACCAAGGAATTAGTAGTTACCTTCAGAATCCAGAAAAGGGATGAGGAATCCGAGAAAAAAATATATGAATTATATGATATTTACAAAAATGAAATAAAAAAATTACCTAAAACAGCAATTTATCTTTAAAAAATATTTAACAATTTATGTAATTCGATGTGAAGTTGTTATGTTTATATAAAAATTGTATGTACAATGACTATGGTCCATGTGTCCAATTACTATATAAAATGTCTAATTACTATACTTTTTTGCATATTTTTAAAAAACTATTATTAAAAATTCAAATATTCTTATTTTTAAGTAAACGTAAATAAAGTTTAAACATAAGAAAAAAACTAAAATCTTTAAAACAAACGGCATATATAAATTTTTGCCTGGGCGATTTTAATCGATTTTAATTTTGGTCGTTTTAGTTTGTCAAAACACATTAATATTTTTAAATGTTAAAAAGAGTGTCATGTTTGTTAAGCCTTTCTCACATGACAGCACGGTATTAGAGATGCAACTTGAAAAAAAAACGGTCCGTTTTTTTTTGTTTTTTTCATTGTTTTTTTCAAATGGTTTTTTTTCATACTTTAGTTTTTTTTCAAGATTTTCCAATTTGCCTAATTTTTTATGTTTCCAGTCCAGTTCATGGACTAAAATTAGCCACTAAATGACATTTAGTAAATTTAAATACAGTCTCGCGCTATGCACGCGCCACCACCACCGAATTGACCAATAAGGACCGCGCTTGTTTTGATTTCGTCCTAAAAAAAGTAACTACCTATAATATTTTTGATTCAGCGCTTGATTTTCCAAAAAGCTACCAAAAGGACTTTTTTCATGATTTTTCAAATTCATGTAGAGTATGGAAATTTTTTTTTTCAAAAAAAACAATAGCAAATTCTTGTAGAAAAAAAGAAAGCCAAAAAAATTTCGATTTTTTTTATTACGGTATTTGTTAGGATTGAGTTTTTTATCTAAAAATCTCAAAACTAGAAACTTCAAGCTTCAAATTGCTTTTTTTACGGCTCCAATACGACCATTTTTAACGAAGCTACAGCTATACGAAAAATCGTAAAAAAAAATTATCCTTTAATTTTTTGTATTAGTGTAGACGTTTTACATTTCTATTGGTTTCTTATGTGAACTACCAAATAATAAGAAATAAGAAATTTTCAATAATGAAAAATGTTCTACATTTCACTTTATTATATACATTTTACTCGAAATTTCATTTTGAAAAATTACTCCATTTTTAGAGATTGATGTTATTTATTGACAAAATATGCTTTATTGTAGCGGATTTAACAAAAAAACAAATAAAACCGTTTTTATTTCTAGTTTTTTTTCATATTTTTTTTCACAACTGAAAAAAAACCGTTTTTTACATCTCTACAGAGCACAGATATCGATGTCTAACTTTATTGCAGGCGTCCGACCATCTGCCTGCCCCCGGGCGCCACTGGCCTGCACAACCTGGGCAACACGTGTTTCATGAACGCCGCGTTGCAAGCGGTGAGCAACACGCGACCCTTGACCATGTACTTTCAGCGCGACAACCAGCTCACCGAGCTGAACACTTCGAACCCGCTCGGCACTAAGGGGGCCGTGGCGCGGAAGTACGCCGACTTGTGTCGGGAGCTCTGGGCCGGATCCACCAGGAGCGTGGCTCCCCTTAAGTTGAGGTTGTGCGTCACCAAGCACGCGCCGAATTTCAGCGGTGGGGGGCAACACGATTCGCAGGTAAAGTGTTTTTTTCTTTATTATTTGTTAAAATGTCAAAAACGTTTTAGAAATGTTTAAACTTGTTTTAGAATGTCAAAACCTTATTTAAAAATGTCAAACTTAATTGTCAAAAACAAGAGTTACACAAATCAACATAAAAACTTGCTTAAGAACGATTTAGGGTTCCAAAAATACATTTAATAATAAAATGCTCATTTTAAAATGTCAAAAACATATTTAAAAAATGTCTAAACGTGTTTTAGAATGTCAAAACCATATTTAAAAATGTCAAACTTAATTGTCAAAAACAAGAGTTACAAAGACAAACTTAAGAATGTAAAAATTATTTGAAAAGGTTAAAGAGTACTTAAAATTTTCAAAACTTGCTTAAGAACGATTCAGGGTTCCAAAAATAAATTTAATAATAAAATGCTCATTTTAAAACGTCAAAAACATATTTAAGAAATGTCAAAACCTGTTTTAGAATGTCAAAACCTTATTTAAAATGTCAAACCTAATTGTCAAAAACAAGAGTTAGAAAGACAAACTTAAGAATGTAAAAATTATTTAAAAAGGTTAAAGGATACTTAAAATTTTTAAAACTTGCTTAAGAGCGATTTATGGTTTCAAAAATACATTTAATAATAAAATGCTCATTATAAAATGTCAAAAACATATTTAAGAAATGTCAAATCGTGTTTTAGAATGTCAAAACCTTATTTAAAATGTCAAACTTAATTGTCAAAAACAAGAGTTACAAAGACAAACTTAAGAATGTAAAATTATTTAAAAAGGTTAAAGGGTACTTAAAATTTTTAAAACTTGCTTAAGAAAGATTTAGGCTTCCAAAAATACATTTAATAATAAAATGCTCATTTTAAAATATCGAAATCATATTTAAAAAATGTCAAAACGTGTTTTAGAATGTCAAAACCTTATTTAAAATGTCAAAAACAAGAGTTACAAAGACAAACTTAAGAATGTAAAAACTTATTTAAAAAGGTTAAAGGATACTTCAAATTTTTAAAACTCTCTTAAGAACGATTTAGGGTTCCAAAAATACATTTGATAATAAAATGCTCATTTCAAAAAGTCAAAAACATATTTAAGAAATGTCAAATTGTGTTTTAGAATGTCAAAACCTTATTTAAAAATGGCAAACTTAATTGTCAAAAGCAAGAGTCACAAAGACAAACTTAAGAATGTAAAAACTTATTTAAAAAGGTTAAAGGATACTTAAAATTTTTAAAACTTGCTTAAAAACGATTTAGGGTTCCAAAAATACATTTAATAATAAAATGCTCATTTAAAAATGTCAAAAACATATTTAAGAAATGTCAAAACGTGTTTAAGAATGTCAAAACCTTATTTAAAATGTCAAACTTAATTGCCAAAAACAAGAGTTAGAAAGACAAACTTAAGAATGTATAAATTTATTTAAAAAGGTTAAAGGATACTTAAAATTTTTAAAACGATTTAGGGTTCCAAAAATAAATTTAATAATAAAATGCTCATTTTTAAACGTCAAAAACATATTTAAGAAATGTCAAATCGTGTTTTAGAATGTCAAAACCTTATTTAAAATGTCAAACTTAATTGTTAAAAACAAGAGTTAGAAAGACAAACTTAAGAATGTAAAAATTATTTGAAAAGGTTAAAGAATACTTCAAATTTTTAAAACTCTCTTAAGAACGATTTAGGGTTCCAAAAATACATTTGATAATAAAATGCTCATTTCAAAAAGTCAAAATCATATTTAAGAAATGTCAAATTGAGTTTTAGAATGTCAAAACCTTATTTAAAATGTCAAACTTAATTGTCAAAAACAAGAGTTAGAAAGACAAATTTAAGAATGTAAAAATTATTTGAAAAGGTTAAAGGGTACTTAAAATTTTTAAAACTTGCTTAAGAAAGATTTAGGCTTCCAAAAATACATTTAATAATAAAATGCTCATTTTAAAATATCGAAATCATATTTAAAAAATGTCAAAACGTGTTTTAGAATGTCAAAACCTTATTTAAAAATGTCAAAAACAAGAGTTACAAAGACAAACTTAAGAATGTAAAAACTTATTTAAAAAGGTTAAAGGATACTTCAAATTTTTAAAACTCTCTTAAGAACGATTTAGGGTTCCAAAAATACATTTGATAATAAAATGCCTATTTTAAAATGTCAAAAACATATTTAAGAAATGTCAAAACGTGTTTTAGAATGTCAAAAACAAGAGTTACTAAGACTAACTTAATAATGTAAAAATTATTTAAAAAGGTTAAAGGGTACTTAAAATTTTTAAAACTTGCTTAAGAACGATTTAGGGTTCCAAAATAAATTTAATAGCAAAATGCTCATTTTAAAATGTCAAAACGTGTTTTAGAATGTCAAAACCTTATATAATAATGTCAAACCTAATTGTCAAAAACGAACCACAAAGACAAACTTAAGAATGTAAAAATTATTTAAAAAGGTTAAAGGGTACTTAAAATTTTTAAAACTTGCTTAAAAACGTTTTAGGATTTCAAAACGTGTTTTAGAATGTCAAAACCTTATTTAAAAATGTGAAACTTAATTGTCAAAAACAAGAGAGACAAAGACAAACTTAAGAATGTAAAATTATTTAAAAAGGTTAAAGGATACTTAAAATTTAAAAACTTACTTAAGAACGATTTAGGGTTTCAAAATAAATTTAATAGTAAAATGCTCATTTTAAAATGTCAAAAACATATTTAAGAAATGTCAGCACGTGTTTTAGAATGTCAAAAAATTATTTAAAAATGTCAAACTTAATTGTCAAAAACAAGAGTTGCAAAGCACACTTAAGAATGTAAAAACTTATTTAAAAAGGTTAAAGGATACTACAAATTTTTAAAACTTGCTTAAGAACGACTTAGGGTTCCAAAAATACATTTAATAATAAAATGCTCATTTTAAAATGTCAACAAATTTAAGAACTTGTTTTAGTACGTCAAAACCTTATTTAGAAATGTCAAAAACAAGAGTTACAAAAATCAACATTAAAACTAAAAGGACATTTTTTTGTTCGTTTAAGGAGTTGCTAGCCTGGTTGTTGGACGCTTTGCACGAAGATTTAAACAGGGTAACAAAAAAACAGTACATCGAATTAAAAGATAGCGGGGGAAGGCCCGATGAGATCGTGGCGGAGGAGGCTTGGCAACTGCACATGGCCAGGGACCATTCCATTATCACCGATTTGTTTTATGGACAACTAAAGAGCAAGGTAAGGTTTTTATGTTAAAATATAGACATTTTAAAATTCGACTTCAAGAAAAGTTATAAAACACAATTTTGTTGTTTTAGGTAACTTGTCAGACATGCGGTCATGAGTCAGTAAGATTTGATCCATTTAGCTTACTCAGTTTGCCATTACCAATGGAAAGCTACACCTTATGCGAAGTTTTAGGTGAGTTGTTTTTTAAATAATTAATTTTCCATCAGACTTTTGCGCGCGGAATTGTGCTAATTAAACCTTATTAAAAAGTTTAGTTTAATATAAAAACGTTTGGGCAATTTTGATATTAAACTAATTTACATTTTAAAACCACCCTTAATAACTTTTGAGTTAAAAATAGCGTTAACAAATTTTATGTTAAATATTCTAAATGGCATCCTATAATTAAAATTATTTAAGAAGCTTAAGGGATACTTTTACATTTTTAAAACGTGCTTAAGAACGTTTTAGGGTTTCAAAAATAAATTTAACGATAAAATGCTCATTTTAAGATGTCAAAAGCATATTTAAGATATGTCAAAACTTGTTTTGGAATTTCAAAACCTTATTTAAAAATGGCAAACTTAATTGTTTAAAACAAGAGTTACAAAGACAAACTTAAGAATATAAACACTTATTTAAAAAGGTTAAGGGATACTTAAAATTTTCAAAACTTGCTTAAGTACGATTTAGGGGTTCAAAAATAAATTTAACCATAAAATGCTCATTTTAAAATGTCAAAAACATATTTAAAAAATTTTAAAACTTGTTTTGGAACGTCAAAACCTTCTTTAAAAATGTAAAACTTAATTGTTTAAAACAAGAGTTACAAAGACAAACTTAAGAATGTAAAAATTAATTAAAAAGGGTAAATTATACTTAAAATATTTAAAACTTGTTTAAGAACGATTTAGGGTTCCAAAAATACATTTTATAATAAAATGCTCATTTAATAATGTCAAACTTAATTGTTAAAAACAAGTCACAAAGGCAAACTTAAGAATGTAAAAACGAGTTATGGTTCCAAAAATACATTTAATAATAAAATGCTCATTTTAAAATGTCAAAAACATATTTAAGAAATTTTAAAACTTGTTTTGGAGCGTCAAAAGCTTATTTAAAAATGTCAAACTTAATTGTCCAAAACAAGAGTTATAAAGACAAACTTAAGAATGTAAAAGCTTATTTAAAAAGGTTAAGGGTTACTTAAAATTTTCAAAACTTGCTTAAGAACGATTTATGGTTCCAAAAATACAATTAATTATAAAATGCTCATTTTAAAATGTCAAAAACATGTTTAAGAAATGTAAAAACGTGTTTTAGAATGTCAAAACCTTATTTAAAAATGTCAAACTTAATTGTCTAAAACAAGAGTTACAAAGACAAACTTAAGAATGTAAAAATTTAAAATTGTGGATTAACACAAATCATATCCCTTAATTCAGTACTTGTGAACTGGTTATGTACAGGCATTTTTGATAAAGGCAGTATTTTTAATTCAAAAAGAAGCAACTGTACTAAGTACAGTGTACTTACTCTCAGTTTTCAACTAGCAATCATTACTTGACAGTTCTTTCAACAGTCATGGCCAACTTTAAATATTGTTGCTTTCGGCTTTGCTGGCGAATATAATAATATTATAATATGCATCGCAATATTTAAAAGGAAATATCTCCATAACGCCTATTGATATTGATATCAAACAAGTAAACATATTTCATTTAAAAATAATGGATATTTCATTATTTCGCATAAAAATGTTAATAATACAAGGGGTAAAAAAGTAAGTATTCAATCACCCAATTCGACATGTGTCATTAGCGGAGTAAGACATATTTGTGTTTTGACATCCTACACTGCCCGTCAAAATTAAGGCATAATAAGTACAAAAAAATTTAACTCAAAACGCCTTTACCAATCTTTATGAAATTTTGTATAAAAATACTTCAACTTATATCTCAGTTTACGTGTTCGAGGGTTTTTCAAAAAAATATTTTTGAAGCCCTTTAATTAAATAATAAAAAAACGTTCTAAAAATAACTTTAAGAGAATTTTTTTAAGTAAATTAAAAATATGATGTTAAAGACCGTATTTATGTTAGTATACCCTAAAAATTTTGTACAAATCAAACGAACAGTAACAAAGATACAGCGCTTTAAAGTCGGTAAAAATTACCCCTTTTTGATTATTTTGCTGAAAAATAGTCATTTTTGACGACTTTGAAACGCTGTATTTTCGATACTTTTCGTTTGATTTTTACAACATTTTCAGGGTATACTTACAAAAATACGGTCACATAATAGTTTTTACCTCCACGCGGTCTATAATTTAAACTTTATTGTTGTTAACATTCGATAAAGAAATACCTTGTTATGGCCTAGGCCGATACATTTTTTTATGAGGCAAGTAATTAGTTCGATTTTTTCTCGCTAGGGGTATTGTTTTGACAAATTAATCCTTTTCTAAGAAATTAACGTACTAAACTGGTTTAATTTATTTATAATAAGCACTAATTTGTTTGTTTTACTGTTAATGTTTATTATTTTTCATTAAATTATTGTAAAATTAAATATGAATAATAAAACAAAAAGTCAGGTTAGGCAACCAGGAAAACGCATGATTCTTTTTCTACGATTTAAATTATCTTTAAGTTTTAATTTGCTTTAAGTTTTCAGTAAAATTAAATGTTAAACACAGCTTAAATATTCCAAACTACCTATTTTTTAAATAAAAATCCAAACAAATTAAAATTAGATACCTACCTATTTATTAAACAATTAATTGAATTCAATGTAATAGCAAAAATCCATTTCTACTTAAATCATGTTGCTAGGTATTGTCAAACTATTACTGCTTCTAAAAGCAATAATAATTATTGTACATTTAATAAAATCTTTAGCTAATAAATAAATGAGATTCCATAAAAGTGAGGTTAGGCCGCTTTGATGTTGAATTAAATTGACCTATATAAAGTGCTTTGAGGATAAAATGTTGTATGCCATTCGGCCAAGAAGTACCTTTTTGTGCTTCGCTCAATTGTAGGCCTCCGCTACGCGTCGGCCTTCAAACCTTGAGCTTAGCACAAAAAGACTTTCTTCTTAATCTAATGACATAACTATTATTTACAAAAAAAAATTCCCTATAAAAGTTGAAGTATTTTTATACAAAATTTCATAAAGATTGGTAAAGGCGTTTTAGATTTTTTTTTACTTTTTATGCGTTAATTATACTATAATAAGTCTTAAAAATTAAGTATTAAAATAATGATATTTTATTTTATTAGCGCTGATTTAAAATGATAAAACCTGTAAAATAAAACAACAATAATTGTAATGTCTGTGCTTGGTTCAGAATTTGATGACGCAATTTGAAACATTCGCCGCGACTTGCAGTATTAAAATTTACTTGGTAGAAAAGAGACATACATATACCGATAAACTCATTAAAAAAAAATGACACTTGCATTCATCAAAAGATCATAACTTCTTGCAATATTGAATTACACCCTCTTTTACACTCTCAGAAATATTGACTAGAAAAGTATTAAAGAGACTCCAGTTTCTATAACTTGGTAGAGTAAAGAGAAGTCGAAACCGTTGCTGCACCATTGGACTGAACCCTTTTTCAATAATTTCTAAAGACATAAATGACTGCGCCATTCGACAGGGTCGAGTTTCTACCTCTCTGTTGAATATAGAAAATCAAAATAATGTATCTTGTAAGACACCATTGAGTTTGACTTTAACTATAGTCGTGCATAGGTATAGAGCCGAAAAATATAAAAACAAAGCACGATTCAATGCAGTTCTGATAAAACTTTAAGATTTAGTATTTAAACGAGGAGTCATCCTATACAGTTCTATATTTTTCCGTTTGCTGTGTATAACTCAAAAGTTATTAATGCATGTATACTGTTGTGTTACTTGCGCAGTGGTCCGCATGAACGACGAGTACCCCGTGAAGTACGGCATGCGCCTCAATTCGGAAGCGCGATACGGCGAGCTGAAGGAACAGCTGCGCCATCTGTGCGGCATCGACCCGCAACGCGTGCTGCTGGCCGAGGTGGCCTACTGCCAGATCAGGACGCTGCTGCAGGACGAGCAGCGCATCAATCCCGGCACCGCGACCGAGTTGTACGGCTACGAGCTGCCCGACGGTGGCGCTGCAGGCGCCGGGGGCGGTCCGGACGAGCCGTTGGAGCCGGAGGCTGGAGAAAACCAAACAGGTACCTAACTTTGTTATTTGTCGAAAGACTTACGTTAATGTTACTACACTCACAGGCAAAATAATCGATCCACACAAATTTTCGATGAATTTCAATCGCAAATAACTTTTTTATTTGATGTCGGATTTAAACGAATACTAAAGAATATTGTAGATACATAAATGGAGAATCGCTCACATTTTAAACAATTACTAAAAAATAGACGTACGTTTATAACACTGTGCGACAAATTTTGACCTTACAATTTGAACTGGGATGAAATGTGGAAAAATCGAATCTATGCAACCCCCAAAGCTAATCTTTAAAGGGGTTTTGCTAGTTTAGCTCGAATAATGGAGATATACAGGGTGTTTCTTTTAACTTGAGACAGCTCAATATCTCGAGAAATACACATTTCACGGAAAAATGTCTTAAATAAAAGGTTAATGTGACCAAAGGGGACATTATTTGGTGTTACCGCTAGCCACCCCCTACCCCTCCTTAAGGGTGAAACGGGGGGTAACTTTTGAAAGTCAAATGGAATGACCCGATTTTTTTCACAGAGTTTGGTAAAACATAAAAAAATGAATAACTTTTATTTGAAAGTTTTTTTCAATTTATCAACAGATGGCGCTGTAATTCAAAATTTAAGAAAAAGGGGTTTCCTTGTAAAATGTATTATGTGAAACGTTTGAAAAACAAAAATTAACATTAAATCAACAATAGTCGGCTCTGAAAACAATTTATAACAAATGTTCGAAATGTCGTCCTTCCATTTTGACACCAAGTGGAGCACCAGCGTCCCTGGTCGGTAAACGTTTGGTGCGGTACCTTAAGCGAACGATTAATCGGACCCTTCTTTATTGACGGTGCATTAAATGGCGAAAAGTACCGGAATTTTCTAGAAAACGATCTGACGGACCTTTTGGAGGATGTACCACTAGCACGGCTCCAAAACATGTGGTACCAGCAAGATGGTTGTCCTGCACATTATTCGACAATTGCTCGGGAGTTATTGGATCGGGAGTTCAATGGCCGTTGCACCGCGGTGGATCGGTAGACGTGGTCCAGTAATTTGGCCTGCTCGATCACCTGATCTTACGCCACCAGACTTCTTCCAGTGGGGTTACTTGAAAGAAAAAGTTTACGCTGCAATTCCTACAACTTGGGCGATACCGCCCGATATGTTGGCGCGTTGTGTGCCAGAATTCATTACCCGCATTCAAAAATGTGTTGAAATGGAATGACGACATTTCGAACATTTGTTATAAAATGTTTTCATAGCCGACTATTGTTGTTAATGTTAATTTTTGTTTTTCAAACGTTTCAAATAATACATTTTACAAGGAAACTCATTTTTCTTAAATTTTGAATTACAGCGCCATCTGTTGATAAATTGAAAAAAGTTTTAAATAAAAGTTATTTATTTTTTTATGTACTACCAAACTCTGTGAAAAAAATCGGGTCATTCCATTTGACTTCCAAAGTTACACCCCGTTTCACCCTTAAGGAGGGGTAGGGGGTGGCTAGCGGTAGCACCCAATAATGTCCCCTTTAGTCACATTAACTTTTATTTAAGACATTTTTCCGTGAAATGCGTATTTCTCGAGATATTGAGCTGTCTCAAGTTAAAAGAAACACCCTGTACATATATATATGTATATCTCCATTATTCGAGCTAAACTGGTAAAACCCCTTAAAGGATTTGTTTTGGGGGTTGCCTAGATTCGATTTTTTCAGATTTGATCCCAGTTCATTTTTTGTGTTGCACAGTGTAATATACAGGTTTAAACAAAAAGATGTTTTTTACCATAAGTTTAAGACACTCTGTAGAGTTGCAAAACCGTATATTGTTCTAAATCAAGTTTTAGTTATCAAGTCACATCTATTTTTAACAGTTTTGTTTTTGGTTCACCTTGATATATTTATTTTTGTGGAAAATATGGATTTTTTAAAAAAACATTGCAATTTCCAATATTTTTTCTGTATAAAGAACTAAGGTTGCTATGGTCCATCCATAGCCTATGGAGGATGACAGTGACAGTTTGGTTGAATCATCCCATACTTGGACATGCCATATACAGCTTTCAAAAGCTATCAAATTGATTTTTGTAAATTAATGTGTTAATTTTGAGGTGTCTTCTTACTTTTAAAAATGTTGCCCTTTGTACTTTACTTCTTGTGGATTAAATTAATGGCTCTGGCAACATCAGTCGGAGACATATCCGTTTTTTAAAGTAAGAAGACACCTCAAAATTTAAACATTAATTTGCAAAAAACAATTTGATAGCTTTTGAAATCCGTGTATGACATGTCCAAGTATGGGATGATTCAACAAAACTGTCACTGTCATTCTCCATAGCCTATGAATGGACCATAGCAACCTTAGTTATTTATACAGAAAAATATTGGAAATTGCAATGTTTTTTTTTAAATCCATATTTTCCACAAAAATAAATATATCGAGGTGAACCAAAAACAAAACTGTTAAGAATAGATGTGACTTGATAAATAAAACTTAGTTTAGAACAAAATACGGTTTTGCCACTCTACAGAGTGTCTTAAACTTATGGTAAAAAATATCTTTTTGTTTAAACCTGTTTATTATAAACGTACGTGTATTTTTTAGTAATTTTTAATTTTAAATGTTAGCGATTCTCCATTTATGTATCTACAATATTCTTTAATATTTGTTTAAATTCGAAATCAAATAAAAAAGTTATTTGCAATTGAAATTCATCGAAAATTTGTGTGGATCAATTATTTTGCCTGTGGGTGTATTATGAAATATAAAAAATGCCAATTTACAGGGTGATTCACCTAACTTATTCATTTTATTTTTAACAGTTTTTCAGATATTTAATTTTTTTTACAAATTTTGACAGATCTTTCTAATATGTTAAAATGTTAATTTATGGTGTGGATCATTTTCAAAATTCTTGTACATTTATTGAAGAAAAAGTAAAAACAAAAACAAAATCTACAAACCTCTTTTTTCCAAATTTTGTTTATTAAGGGGTGTTATTTAACACCTAAAAGTGGGCAGTTGGATTTTTTAAAAAACAAAATTGAAAAAAAAATGGTCCCCTGGGTCACAAATTTACTAACATATTAAAAAAACTTATATAAAAATGCTTAACCATTTTGAAAATATATTTTTTGGTTGTTAATAATCCTTTCAAGGTTTAAAAAAATAACAAATTTATTATTTATAAAAAATGTTAAGTACAAAACTAAGTAAAAGCAAAAACTATGTTCTATTTCTCAACTTTCTTATATACATAAGTATTTTTAATATATTTTCTGTATTTAAAAAATGTCCATTAAAAAAGGTAAGTTTAAGAAATTTTTTTTTAATGCGTATTAAAAACGTTTTTTCTCGATTTTTTATCTGGGCCCAGCTTGTCCAATTTAACGAGCAATAAATTAATAAAAAGTTTTAGTTTTTAGTAATATTAATAAAATAATAATAAAAAGTCAATATAAACATTGTTTTGTTGAACTACCAAACATTTTTTTTCAGCTTCTTTGAGGCAAAAATACATTGACTACAAAAATTACTATTAAAAAGGTGAAGGACATAATTTTAAATTGGCTACGTACTGTCAGAAATAGAAAAGGTGGAAGGTCGAAAAAAAATGTTTTTTCTTACTACCTCGACTCAAAATACGTTGTTTCGTTCCCGATTTCACTGCAGAAAGTTTACGTTTCTTGCATTGGTCAAGCTATACGCGCACACTCTAATAGCGGGAGTAAAAATTTTTTAGTCGTGTGCTTAACATTCAAATTTCGTACTGCCAACATGAGAAACACAAAAATATGATAGTTTTAAACCATAATTTTGCAATTATAACAACAAATAAACAATTTATGTTTTTACTTTTTTACTTTTTATGTTGTTTTAAGTGTTTAATGGTACTTTTATTTGTTATAAAGTAGTAATTTGTTAATTAAAATACAACGTTTTATTTTTACTGTATTGGCACCGCTGAATTCACGGCCTACTGTTATTTATTTATCAAGCTCTTCAAATGGAGATAGGTACATAAATACACATTTAAATTTTTCCCGTATTTTCGGCCGGGTTGTATTTTCGGCCGAGGTAGTAAGAAAAATAGTATACACTACACGGGCAGAAAGTGTGAGAGTCCTGAACTGCGCGCCATGATGCCCTCGGCTTCGCCTCGGGCATCATGGCGCGCAGTGCAGGAATCTCACACTTTCTGCCCTTGTAGTGTAATATACTATTCCAGAGATAAAGAAAAAATATGCATTAGAAGTTTTTTATATTTTTTGTGATACGCCACTGGTTACACACTTGGTTTATCTCTGCACACTTGTGTTCTGTGAGTACATAGATACCAACCAACAAAGTAGCTGCGCCTTGCCAGATGTAAAAAATTGTTACTAAAAATTTTTCTTGCAAAAAATAAATAAAAACTTAATAAATACAAAAGTTTTATGCCCTTAAAGCTCTAATACCCTTCTGTATTTATTTACTCATCCAGCTATTAGCTTAAGCAATGATTGAAAAATTTAGTAGGTACCTATTTTAAAAAATGCATAACCACAAAATTATTTTTTTCATCGGTTTTTTTCTTTCTGTTTACTCAGATAAAATTGGGACCAGTTCACAGGTTAAACTTTAAACATTTAATTTGTGTAAATAAAATCCAAATGCACTTCTCTTTAACTATAGTTAAGATATTTACAATTTGAGCACATAACCTAAAATTTGAAAGAAATGCACTAGAATCTGTCATAAATTTGGCAGATTTTGTTTGAATTTACCTTCAGTACAAAAATGACATAACCAACAATTAATAAAACAGCCAAATTGACAATTTGCATTGTTAATTTTGTCATTTTTGTAATTAAGCTAAATTTAAACAATGTTTGTCAACTTTTTTGACAGAATTTGGAAACGCTGTTGTTACCAACCATAACATAATAAATTAAATTAGGCAACCAGATTAGCCTAAAGTTCCTAGTCGATTAGTGGCGTACTTTTTGGTAGGATAAAGGTTATTATAAAATATTTTTAGTCTTTGGAATTTAGAAAAAAAAAGTTTCAGGTGCTTCTTTATGGACCCTAAGGAACAACCCATTTTAATATATAACATTAATTACATAACACCCTGTATATTAAAACTACTTATGTATGTAAGAAAGTTGAGAAATAGAATATAGTTTTTGCTTTTACTTAGTTTTGTTAAATATCAACCCTAAATAAATAAAATTTAAAAAAAAACAGGTTTGTAGATTCAGTTTTTGTTTTTACTTTTTCTTCTTTAAATGTACAAGAATTTTAAAAATGACCCATATATCTTTGTAAAAAAAAATGGGGTAGTTAAATTTTTTCTGACCTATACTTTTTATGGTTTTATTCAAGGCGTTTTGTAATTTTAAACATTTCTGTGAAATCAGAATTTCAATTGAGTTTACCGTTTTCGAGATATTTACAAAAAATATAAATTTTTATGACGCCACAAACCTCGCCATGTGACCAACATTCTAAGATTTCTATTGGTTGAAAATTACCCTGTTGTCAAGTTGTCTTGTTAATGATTTCATTCGGTTATGTCAGAAAATACCCGAAGAGGTTATGTACAAATACTGTCACTGTCAGTTGAGTGAAAGATGGTCACCAAATTCATTAAGTACCTATCTTCCTTATTACGAGGTATCATATTACTGTTTGATATTTTAGAGTCCAAGATATATCTAAAAGAATATAAAGAACTAGGCATTATACTAATGAAATGCATTTACGACAAAATATGATTATAATTATAGATACTTACTTTATTTGTTTAAAAGCTCCAATGTTCAATGTAACCAACCATTCCACAAGATTCCTCTGCTTTGGAGTCCGTTATTAATAAATCACTTATCTAATATCAATTACAAATAACATAACAATAACATTGATTTTCAATAATTTAAATTTAAAAAAAACATAACCCGAAAAAAAGAAACGTCAAAAAATCAATAGCCTAGTGACGTAATTAGGAGATTTTTTTTTGTAAATATCTCGAAAACTCAATTAAAATTCCGATTTCACAGAAATGTTTAAAATTACTAAACGCCTTGAATAAAACCATAAAAAGTATAGGTCAGAAAAAATTTAACTACCCCATTGTGAGGTTGTTCAAATTTGGTTTTATGCTTTTTAAATAAGCCCCTATCACCCTAGCACCCTACGTTCGCGCGTATAGACGGCTATCCTAATCTTTGATGAATTGAAAGAACTTTTTTAATTAGAGCATGTTCTGTTTTTTGCGTGTGTTTCAGATGCGGAACCGGGCGTAATGGAGAGTCCGATGGGCCGTATGCCCGAGGTAAGAGGTGGTTGTTCGGCCCTATGCATGCCCATCAAGCTATGCTTTAAGGTATGCACGTGCCAAAATAATCGAAAACTTAAAAAAATAAATTTGTCGTAAAACGCGCTAAAGTCAAACCTAATTTAATTACTTGTACATATACAAAGGGACAATAAGGTTTTAACAGTTTATTTATAGTATGCATTTCGTATTTTTTAAACGTATGTAGATATTTTTGATCAGAAATTTTGTAGAAGAATGTTTAAGTTTTAAGTATGTTATAGTGTTTGTTGTAGCATAGAGGTAAATATGTGTTTTTTGAATCATATATTTTTATTTTGGGCAAAATTTTATTTTTTATTTTGTACATAATTATTACTACAAAGAAGGCTTTTATTTATTTATTTTTTTTAAACAAGTTTGGTGGACTTTTGTACATATTTTTTTAAAGTGTTTTTAAATATTTTATACTGATAAAATATTTTAAAAACTGTTTTTTACTTTTAAAATATTAATTTTATTATTATTTTTTATAAAAACATGTTAATGATATTATTTATTAATTAAATAATAAATTTTAGCGAAATGTTTTCAGATTATTTTAAAAATTAAGTGAATATATAGATTTTTTTATCATTAACATGGTTTTGAAATGAAAATACTGGGTGTCATTGTTGAGACACAAAATATGTCAATTTAAAATTGTTGATTATACAGGGTGTTCCAGGGTTTGTTAAGTTATTTTAGTAATTAAACAGCTCCATAAAAGATACAAAAGGTAAAATTCCAAAATTATTTTTTTCATTATAGGGTAAACCGCAGAGTTATTGGACACTTTGAAATTTATATATGACTTTTTTTCTTAAAAATACAGGGTGGGGCACAATAACTAGCGATTTTAAAAAGTCTGTTAAAAAGCAGAAAATAAATTTTTAAAAATAATTTTATTATTTTGTTAAAGAACATAAAAAAGCATTAATGAATCTAGGTTTTGAAAATAACTCCGGCAAGATGACGTCCGTTCAGGCATACACATTCTTCCAATCGTGATTTGAAATTATTCATTACGTTCCGCAGTGTTGCCAGGGGAATTCGGACCTCATCCGTGCGACTTTTTCTTGTGGGGTTACTTGAAGAGTAAAGTGTTTTAAGATAACCCACCACAAACAGTTCAAGCCTTAAAAGAACGGATCCGACAGGAAGTGAACCGAATCAAATCACGATTGGAAGAATGTGTACGCCTGAACGGACGTCATCTTGTCGGAGTTATTTTCAAAACCTAGATTCATTAATGCTTTTTTATGTTCTTTAACAAAATAATAAAATTATTTAAAAAAAATTATTTTCTGCTTTTTAACAGACTTTTTAAAATCGCTAGTTATTCTGCCCCACCCTGTATATAAAAAGGATAGTTTGTTTGTTTAAACTTTATTAACGTTTACTTAAAAATAAGAATATTTGAATTTTTAATATCAGTTTTATAAAAACATGCAAAAAAGTATAGTAATTGGACATTTTATATGGTAATTGGACACATGGACCATAGTTATTGGACACACAATTTTTATATAAACATAACAACTTTACATCAAATAACATAAATTGTTAAATATTTTTTAGATAGATAAATTGCTGTTTTAGGTAATTTTTTTTATTTCGTTTTTGTAAATATCATATAATTCATATATTTCTTTCTCGGATTCCTCACCCCTTTTCTGGATTCTGAAGGTAACTACTAATTCCTTGGTCTGACTTCTGAAATAGTTTGTTGCAAATATCATTAAGTGTGGTATCTCCAGTTTGTGAAGCATTTATAATGTTTAGGCCGGAACAGGATGATTTATATTTATATCTAATATTTTTTCGGGTGGTATGTTAAAAGTATTATCAGAATTTATTAATTTTGTTGCCATTAGTTTTTTATCTTCTCTATCATGCACTGTTATTCTGCAAGATGTCCTGTGACGAAGAAATCACTATATTACTAACTCTCTTAAAAATAATTAGTCAAAAATGTCATAGCAAAAAAGCAGCCACTAATAATTCTCGTCAACAGCAATTTGTATCCAGGACGTTTAGCAGTCAATTCCTATGAAATATTATTCGCTGAATCCGAAAATGTCGTCAAAAGTTATAAAAGTAGAACAGTTTTTGAAATATAATCAATTTTACATATAATATGGAATTAACTATATCTCAAAAACTGCTTATAGTTTTTGACGGTCTTTTCGGATTCAGGGGACAATTTTACATAAGAATTGGCTGGTAAATGTCCGGGATACAAATAGAGTATGATATTGGACATATGTCTAATAATAGAACTTTACATTTTTTACCAACCAGTAATTGGACACTGGCCATTTTACTGTTTGTTTTCAGAATTAAAATTAAAATGCATTAAAGTGACAATGTTTAAACCATGAGGAACACATTTATACCACACACCTGTACACGTTTTAGAAATATTTGTTATTGTAATTTAAACACAGCCCTGCTCTTAACAAAAATGATAGAGGATAAACTTTCCACCCAAAGAATGACAATTTATTAGGTGGCACCCTGTGTATATATAGTGAAAAATCGTCGTAAAAGTTTTAGCTTCTCATTTGAAAGGAGATTTCCTGGACATCCTGTATAAACAAAACAATTTTATCGATCCCTCTGTGTAGCTTTATTTTTGTATTTATTTTGCATTAATTTGGGGTTTACAATCAAAATAATATGCTTGTTTTTGCCCTCTAACAATTTTTTAATGTGTACAGTTTTATTTAATTTATTTGAAGTACGTTTAAAACGAAGAAAGTTGAATTAATTTGGATTCGAACATTTCAGCAAAATCCCAAAAGTAAACCTGAATCTCGTCTCAGTAAGGGGGTGCCTTTCCAAAAATCCACAGTGTCTTTACATTCCTCTCAAAGCCAAGTATCAGGTAAGACATATTTAAAAAAAAATTTCTACTCCCACCTTTAAAACGCCCTTTATCGTACATGTTTCATGACACTAAGTGACCTTTTAAATACACATTGACAAGTTGTGGCTTTATGGCCCTTTAGTCACTTGCTGAAGTTAGCAACAGGTTTTTAGTCACGGGCTGAAGTTAGTTTTAAGTTAGTTGACAGTTGTCAAATGTCATGCAATCGTTAAAATAAAGTGCCTTTCTTGTAAAATAATACTAAATCTGAAAATTATTTTATTATCTAAATACAAAAATACAATATTTGAAAAGTTTATATGAACATTGTACTGACCTTTTAATTTCGCCGGCAGTAAACTATACTTAAATTCGGGCACGGACTCCACTGTAAAGTGGTTTACTTTTACTGTGAAAAACTGTCAATTTTCAGGAAATACATTTCGATTTATAACCTTTATAATTGTGTTAATAAAATGTAAAAATGTGACAGTTTCCCCTGTTGTTTCATAGATGGCGCTCTATAAAATTTTTTTATTGAAATTATTTTAAGATAATAATAAGTATTTGTCGTAGAAAAAGTATAGTATGCACCTCGTTTATAAACTAAAATGGCGTTTATCAAACTTGATACATAATATACTATTATGTAACAAAATAGGCAGTTTTTCTATGCATATGAATTTATTTGAATAAAAAACCTTCAAGGATTTAAATAGTGTCAAGATATTATTGTGTAGTGTAGTTTTAGATCTTTTAAGTGTTTTTTTTAGTTTTATAAACTTTTTTAAAACTGATTTAAATTATTGATTAAAATTTAAAAAATCACTTGATTTAAATCGTGATTTAAATTCATTTTTTTACCAGGGTATTCAAAAGATACCTATTTTTAAAAATATATATAACATTTATAATAGATAGATCTCATTTCAAATAAATATTTTTTTTTTTGATCTATTATTTGCGAATTATCGACCATCTTTTGTTTTTACATAAACTTTTTTATCTCGATTATTTATGACCGTATTTTAAAAAATAAAAGTTTTTTGAAATTGTCAGTTTAGTATCTACAATTTTTTATCAACCAACGAAGATAAAAAAGTTTATGTAATAACAAAAGAAGGTGTATAAACATCTCTTAAACATTTAATTTATGTTATTTTTTCTCACAGGTAGCTCTGATTCTTCGACCACTAAACTGCCTTCGTACCTGATCGGCGTGCACCGGAAGTGCGTTCGACAGGAAACGTACTTTCTGTCGCAACAGAAAAGCAAACCCAGTCTCTTTGGGTTACCTTTGCTGCTCGGATGTTCTTCCAGCAGCACCTGCCAGTCGTTGTATCAAGAAGTCTGGGAGCAGGTGACCAGATTGTTGAGCCCGCTGCCTCAGAGCGACCAGACCAACCACGCTCAAGACTGGTAAGTACAAAATGTTCAGAGGAAGTGACATAAAATCTTCGAGTCCATCATTTTTACAGCTATTTTTGAAACCTGCCATTTTAACAACCATTTTGAGATTTTGTCTAAAACATTTTTTCATATTTGTAATAGATGGCGCTGTAATGAAAAAAAATCAATTTTGTTCGATTTTTCTTCTGTATACGATTCTACAATAATTTTTGTATAAAATTTTAATTAAAGTAGGTGCTCAAAACAACAATATTAAATATTTGCTCGACGAACTCTTTTTTTTCGGTTGAACACTCCCGTTTGTAGTAAACTGCTTGACCGTACGGTGAAATGAAGTACGTGATCGATTTTTTTCCGGAAAACGCTGAGCGTAGATATTAACAGCATCATCGAGATTCCTGCCTGCTTCTCCATAAATCAAAATCATTTCTATTTTTTCCTCCACTGTTAAAAAATCCATTATGAATAACTGCTTAACGAAAGGGAGTATTTTTGTTTGCAAATTAATCTCCGAACTAAATTGATTAAATAATGCTAAACTATGTATAAATAGTTTCTTTATACCTCAATAATAATTACCTATCATTTATAACTAAATACCATTTTTTATACCTCAATTAATATCAAATTAATTAATTGACAAAATAATGGTTTTAATGCTGACAGGTAAAAAGTGACCATGGTGCGCAATTGATAATTATCATCGAATGAAATAATGTATAAAACTTAAACCAAAGGAAACTTAAATATTAGTTAAAAAATCGTGGGTACTTAAAAAAATCAGATTTAATTTAATAAGATAATTATTACCAAAAAAGTGATATTTTTATAGAAAAATTATTGCAGAATCGTATACAGAAAAAAATCGAACAAAATTGATTTTTTCATTACAGCGCCATCTATGTATTACAAATATGAAAAAATGTTTTAGACAAAATCTACCTATTTTTAGTCGAATGAACCGAATCTGCAATAAAAGATAATGGGTTTCATTGGAAATTTTAAAGTTACCCCCTGTTTCCCCTATAAGGAGGAGAGTATGAGGAACAATTTTAGTACTGATTGATTTCCCCCTCGAATCATTTAGTTTTTATTTTAAACATTTTTTCGTAAAATGTATACTAACTGAGAAGTTTCAAATTAAATATTTTGGCATCAAAATTGTCAGAAATATTCTTCTTTTAATATTCTATCAATTAAATAAAAAAACGCAAGATATATTTTATAAAAGTAGAGATAATTTTAATAATTGACATGTGTGGATGGGACAAGATAAATCTTTTTTTGTTCCGTCCTTTTATTAAAATTATCTCCTTTTATAAAATATTTCTTGTGTTTTTTATATAATATATAGCCTGAACAAAGAAGAATATTTTTGACAATTTTGATGCCAAAATATTATTTCTCATGAAATAGTATTTCTCGTGAAACCGTCAAACTCGCCTTTGGCTCGTGTGACAAACTTTTCGAGGGAAATATAATAATAATAATAATAAGTTTATTAGCCCAACGGAAAAAATATGACTTTTTCCAAACTTGTTACAGAATATAATAATCTGCAATTTTTTTTATAAAAACAGTTTAGTAATTCGTGCGTTTCGCGCGCTTGAAATGACAGAATTGTTACTTTGACAGCTGACATTTTTGCACATGTCATTTTAACTGTTGACATTTTTGACAGGTTCCATTTTGACAACCGCAATTTTAACACACATAAAATTTTGACCTGTCATTTTAATACGTAAGATTTTTTACACGTCGTTTTAGAAATGCCATTTTGACACTTCTAATTTTTCCAGCTATTTTTGACATCTGTCATTTTGACAACTAGTTTTAAAACCGGTATTTTATACGCTAAAGAAGTATCGCTAGTAGCGCCACCACTCGGTTGTTATCATCGTAACAAAAGTATAACTTTGATTATTCAGCTGTCAAACGCTTATGTTACAAACGAGTATTTTTAAGAATAAAGCCGGAAAATGTTAAAAAATATCGAAAAAAAACCGTGGCTCGATTTGTTGTGTTGTTGGGTGTATTTCAAGAGGAAATCCTGGGTTTTTCAATAAACATTGTTAGTTAATCGGAATGAAGAAATAAATTGCATACAGTCTCTGTAAATATAAATTGTATCTATTAGATACAATAAATACACATTTTAGTAATGATTAACGTGAAAAGTGTAAACATTTCAATTCAGTAAAAATCGTCTAAATTTAAACAGCATTTAGCATTATTAAAAGCGTTGATTAAGAAAGTCTCCACTCAACGGTAAAATACCATTATATTATGTATTATATGTAATAAATGCAACGATTTAGTTCTTGAATTTTATTCACAATAAAAACGCAATAATTCACCATGGTCCCTTAGATAAAATACACACACTAACGTAACTATATAAGCATTCAAGCGTTGAGTTTCTTAATCAATGATATAAGGAATAGTCAATCGAAATCGAGTACTAAACCAGTTTTTTAGTTTTTTCCTTGCAACGTAAAACACAAATAACTTCTGCCTTTCTCTCTTTTGTGAAAAAACTACCTATTTATTTAAAAAAGATGTACAGTTCGTAAGCTTTAAATGTATTGTTGACAATTCTTAAATTCGGTTCTACATTATTTCAGCGACGATTCCCTCGGTTACGAGTTCCCGTTCACGCTTAAGGCCGTCCTGCAAGGAGGCCAGATATGCGCGCTGTGTCACTGGACGCAGTTCTGCAGAGGTTGCGCGCTACCTTGCAGCGACGAGTCGCTATTCGAGCGATGCAAAACCGGAGTGTCCATCATGCATATCGCCATCGATTGGGACCCCACAGCTCTGCATCTAAGATATCAAAGCAACAGAGAAAAGGTATTTATCTTTACGCGGTCTATAATGGGGTAGTTAAATTTTTTCTGACCTATACTTTTTATGGTTTTATTCAAGGCGTTTTGTAATATTAAACATTTCTGTGAAATCGGAATTTCAATTGAGTTTACCGTTTTCGAGATATTTACAAAAAATATAAATTTTTATGACGTCACAAACCTCGCCATGTGACCAACATTCTAAGATTTCTATTGGTTGAAAATTACCCTGTTGTCAAGTTGTCTTGTTAATGATTTCATTCGGTTATGTCAGAAAATACCCAAAGAGGTTATGTACAAATACTGTCACTGTCAGTTGAGTGAATGATGGTCACCAAATTCATTAAGTACCTATCTTCCTTATTACGGGGTATCATATTACTGTTTGATATTTTAGAGTCCAAGATATATCTAAAAGAATATAAAGAACTAGGCATTATACTAATGAAATGCATTTAAGACAAAATATGATTATAATTATAGGTACTTACTTTATTTGTTTAAAAGCTCCAATGTTCAATGTAACCAACCATTCCACAAGATTCCTCTACTTTGGAGTCCACTATTAATAAATCATTTATCTAATATCAATTACAAATAACATAACAATAACATTGATTTTCAATAATCTAAATTTAAAAAAAACATAACCCGAAAAAAAGAAACGTCAAAAAATCAATTCTTCTTCTTCTTCTCAGCTAAAATTATAGATCAAGTGGTTTTAAAACTAAAATATTATAACGTGGCGCCATCTATCGTAAGAATCTTAATCTAAACACACTGGCAACCATAGAAAAAGCTGACAACGTTGTCAATAGCCTAGTGACGTAATTAGGAGATTTTTTTTTGTAAATATCTCGAAAACGGTAACGGTAACTCAATTGAAATTCCGATTTCACAGAAATGTTTAAAATTACAAAACGCTTTGAATAAAACCATAAAAAGTATAACTATTTAACTACCCCATTTAAACTTTATTGTTGTCAACATTCTATAAAGAAATACCTTGTTATGGCCTAGGCCGATAAAAAAATTTATGAGGCAAGTAATTAGTTCGATTTTTTCTCGCTAGGGGTATTGTTTTGACAAATTAATCCTTTTCTAAGAAATTAACGTACTAAACTGGTTTAATTTATTCATAATAAGCACTAATTTGTTTGTTTCACTGTTAATGTTTAATATTTTTCATTAAATTATTGTAAAATTAAGTATGAATAATAAATCAAAAAGTGAGGTTTTAATTTGCTTTAAGTTTTCAGTGAAATTAAATGTTAAACACAGCTTAAACATTCCAAACTACCTATTTTTTAAATAAAAATCCAAACAAATTGAAATTAGATACCCACCTATTTATTAAACAATTAATTGAATTCAATGTAATAGCAAAAATCCATTTCTACTTAAATCATGTAGCTAGGTATTGTCAAACTATTACTGCTTCTAAAAGCAATAATAATTATTGTACATTTAATGTAATCTTTAGCTAATAAATAAATGAGATTCTAAAAAAGTGAGGTTAGGTCGCTTTGATGTTGAATTAAATTGACCTATATAAAGTGCTTTGAAGATAAAATGTTGCATGCCATTCGGCCAAGAAGTGCCTTTTTGTGATTCGCTTCAAACCTTGAGCTTAGCACAAAAAGCCTTACTTCTTAACCTAATGACATAAATAACTATTGCATTGTAGCATATTTTTTTTGAGGATTTTATGCGAATATTTCTTTTAGCTGTGGATCGAACACGATTCGGTGGCCACCTGCAGAAAGCTGCACACAGAACCAATAGACCTGGATTATTGTTTAAGAGCTTTCACTTCAGTCGAACGCCTGGAGGCAAAATATCATTGTAGTAATTGTCAGGACAAACAGCCCGCGACCAAGAAGTTACAAATTTGGAGGTTACCACCAATACTGGTAAGTTACAACAAATATGAATTTGTAGGTGTCATTTTACTATTTCACAAAATAACACTAGTTTACAGCCATTTTGCCCACCATGTCTCACTATGTTTTTTTTTGTGTAGTTTAGCTCAGTAAACGCGAAAATCACACTTAATTTTCTAAGGTGTTTTGACGTTATAGAGTACGAGTATACTTCGAGTTCTAAATCATCGATTTGACCAAACAAGCACTTAAATCAAAGGTAATTGAGCACTCTACAACTTTCTCTTGTATAGTTTTGGTATTGGCTCAGTAGTTCGATACTGGCGATTTTATGAAGTTAAAAGTCCTTTTTTTTTCAAAAATCGAGGTCGAAAATTTACATATCTTTCTGGGAAAGATAGAAATCGAAAAGATAAGTCCAGTTTGATTTATTTTACGTATAGATTATACTTAAAGGAAAAAAATAAGCTGCTCTTGATAAAAATCCATGGATAAATGGCGAAGTTATGATTTTTTTAGTGGAAGAGCAAAATTCAGTTTTCAATTTTTACGTTTTTTCTTCATTTTCTTGAATTATATAAAATTTAATTTAACATTAAGTATTGAAATTAAATTATATATTGAATATTGAACAATAATTATTGAACATTGAAGATATTAAAAGTTTTAGTTTGTTGTAATAAGCATAGGTTTAAAAAAATCTCCGTGCTCATCACTTACGTTACGACGCGTCGCCCAGATTATCCGGGTTATTTACGCACTAGAACTCTACTTCTTTTACTCATTTTACACTTTTTGTTAACTAAATAAAACCATGATAAAAATACTTTGTTGAAATATCAAAAAATAGCAGTAAAATGTCACTATGCCAACACGAGAAACAAAAGAATTCACGTTTGCGGAGTCATGTCAAATTTAAATTTTGAATAATGTTTTCGGTGAAAAAAGTACGTAAAAAACTCAAAAAATTTCTATCATGCACTTTACTTAGGTTTTCATTAAAGAATAAACATATTACAAAATCAAAGAACAAAATAAAATAAAAATCGTCAAAAAGCTGAATTTTGGTCTTCCACTAAAATATTCATAACTTCGCCATTTTTCCATGTATTTTTATCAACATTAGCTTGTTTTTTTTGCAAAAATGTCAGCTTCACGAAAACAAACTAAACTGGAGTTATCTGTTTGATTTAAACCTTTCCCAGGACGATATGTAAATTTTCACCCTCATTTTTTGCCATAAAAACGAGTTATTAAAATCGCTAGCGTTAAAATACTTATCCGATATCAAAAGTATGTAGAAAAAAGTTTTAGAGGGCTCAAATACCTTCAATGTAAGGGCTTGTTTGGCCAAATCAATCAATTAAAACTTCAAGTATACTCCAAAACGTCAAAACCCCTCAGAAAATTTAAAAAAACAATTGAAAATTCATATCTGAAAAACGCTTCCATGAAAGATTTCAAGCTATACTCAAAAACGTCAAAACACCTCCAAAAATTGAAAAAAAAATTTTAAATTGATAACTCAAAAACGCTTCCATAAAAAAAATTGAGTGTGATTTTCGTGTTTAGTGGGTCAAAATACATGGGAAAATTATAATGGGATATGGTGGGCAGACATTTTTTTCGATTTTGTAAACTAACTAGTGTAATTAGAGGGTCTTTTCATCTCAAATCGCGAAATTTTTTGAAAAATGGACAGAAACATGGATTTTTCTCTTTTTACGAAATTTTTTCTTGAAAATGCGATAACTTGTCCGAAAATGTTACGATCGTTACAATTTTTTTATATTGTAGGTTAATGTTTACTACATACAAAAAATATAAAAAATTAAGTGAATTCACTTTATTTTTTTTTAAATTGTTTTTTCTAAATTGTTTTTTTCGTTTGAAGATAATATGAACAACTTTCACCAAAAGTCCGGGGTTGGCTAAATTCGTCGTTTCGGAATTATTATTTTTTTAATGAAAATGCCATTTTCTGTTAAATTCGTGGTTCATTGCAAAAATTTGGTAATAAAAATTGTAAATATCGAAACATTTTTGGCCAAGTTATCGCATTTTCAAGAAAAAATGTCACTTGTGAAAAGAGAAAAATCGACCCACTCCTTTTTGCCTGGTCAATATGAGATGAAAAGGTCCATCCAATAAAGAGCAGAGGGTGTTTCTTGAAATTTGCGACATGTTGTGGTTTCTATTGGAAGTTGTTAACAAATCAGAGCGCAGCCTTCTCCACAGAACACTAGATTGCAACAGATAATGCAGAGCTCTAATGGGGTAGTTAAATTTTTTCTGACCTATACTTTTTATGGTTTTATTCAAGGCGTCTTGTAATATTAAACATTTCTGTGAAATCAGAATTTCAATTGAGTTTACCGTTTTCGAGATATTTACAAAAAATATAAATTTTTATGACGTCACAAACCTCGCCATGTGACCAACATTCTAAGATTTCTATTGGTTGAAAATTACCCTGTTGTCAAGTTGTCTTGTTAATGATTTCATTCGGTTATGTCAGAAAATCAGCGTTGCCAACTTAGCGACTTTGTCGCTAGATCTAGCGTTTTGAGGTAGCCATTTGAGACATTTTTTTATGATTTGCGACGTGTCTCAAACCTAGCATTTTTCACATTGTGTTGGCGACATTTTTGGAGACATTTTAACATTGATAATGAAATTTGTTTTTAAACAAAACAACAAAATAATTTCTAGTTTAAAAAATTTCAAATTAAAATTTGTTACGTTGGCATGGCCAACTTGGCAACGACGCATCCGTACGTCATCCGTCAAATGTCAAAAACTGAAAAAATAGCCGGGCAATTGTCAAATCCCATTATTTATTTATTCTTTTATAATCTGTGTTATGGAAAATCTTAAGGGATTTTGGCACTTTGCAGGCTTATATTAATGACGATGCAAAATCGACTGAATTTCTTGAAAATTTCGAGGAAAATTTATTAATAAACTATTTTTTTTTAATTTTTTTATTTACCTTAAGAATTATTTATTTTATTTATTTTTCTTATTTTAGAATGACTTGATTTTTTAATGATTTATGTTATGTTATTTAAATAAAATATTTGTTAACAATTATAATTAATAATCATTTTCTATACTACCACTACAACCACGTTAAAATTCTTTCTTTATGAAAAATCAATTCTGTTTAAAATTTCGCAAACACTTTAAACTTTTTTTTCTCTTTTTTTTTTAAATTTGCGACATCTGGCGATTTTTAAGTGCCAAATAATTTAGCGATTTCTGGCGACTTTTGAAGAGCTTGGTTGAGACTTTTCACAATAGACTGTTGGCAACACTGCAGAAAATACCCGAAGAGGTTATGTACAAATACTGTCACTGTCAGTTGAGTGAAAGATGGTCACCAAATTCATTAAGTACCTATCTTCCTTATTACGAGGTATCATATTACTGTTTGATATTTTAGAGTCCAATATATATCTAAAAGAATATAAAAAACTAGGCATTATACTAATGAAATGCATTTACGACAAAATATGATTATGATTATAGGTACTTACTTTATTTGTTTAAAAGCTCCAATGTTCAATGTAACCAACCATTCCACAAGATTCCTCTGCTTTGGAGTCCGTTATTAATAAATCACTTATCTAATATCAATTATAAATAACATTGATTTTCAATAATCTAAATTAAAAAAAAAACATAACCCGAAAAAAAGAAACGTCAAAAAATCAATTCTTCTTCTTCTTCTCAACTAAAATTATAGATCAAGTGGTTTTAAAACTAAAATATTATAACGTGGCGCCATCTATCGTAAGAATCTTAAACTAAACACACTGGCAACCATAGAAAAAGGTGGCAACGTTGTCAATAGCCTAGTGACGTAATTAGGAGATTTTTTTTTGTAAATATCTCGAAAACGGTAAACTCAATTGAAATTCCGATTTAACAAAAATGTTTAAAATTACAAAACGCCTTGAATAAAACCATAAAAAGTATAGGTCAGAAAAAATTTAACTACCCCATTGGTCAACAACTTCCCCTGTTTTATTTGTGAAATCGTTCGTTTCCCTCTTACAGATCGTGCATCTAAAGCGGTTCGACTTCGTGAACAGCAAGTGGGTGAAGACGCAGAAGGTGGTGAACTTCCCGTTCAAAGATTTCGACCCGACCGCCTATCTGGCGAGCATCCCGCAGGAAACGATCCTGCGGCACAGGCAGCTGCAGGAGGAGAAGCAGCAGGCCGAGGCCGACAAGGACGACCTGGAAGCCTCCTGCGACAGCCAGGCTACCGAAAGGATCATGGAGGAGAGCATCACCTCGGAAGGTAAGACATATGATTGGCCTTTTTTGGCCTTAAAAGAGGCAGAAAACATTTAACACTGATGGCACGCCGTTTCATTTTTTAATCGGATAAGAAATGTTAAGTTAAATATTAAATACTTATAATATAATAATAATTATACATATCAAAGAAACTATTCTTTTTTTTTAATATGTTTATATAAGATGTTGAATTATTTATTAAATGTAATTTTTTTGTGAGCAATACTTTTGTGACACATTAATATTTAACTTAATATTTCTTATACAATTAAAAAGTAAAACTGCATGCCATAATTAATTTTTTCTACTCCCACCTTTAAAACGCCCTTTATCGTACATGTTTCCATGACACTAAGTGACCTTTTAAATACACATTGACAAGTTGTGGCTTTACGGCGCTTTAGTCACGGGCTGAAGTTAGCAACAGGTTTTTAGTCACGGGCTGAAGTTAGTTTTAAGTTAGTTGACAGTTGTCAAATGTCATACAATCGTTAAAATAAAGTGCCTTTCTTGTAAAATAATACTAAATGTGAAAATTATTTTATTATCTCAATACAAAAATACAAAAGTATTAAATAGTTTCTCAACGCCAATATTTGAAAAGTTTATATGAACATTGTACTGACCTTTTAATTTCGCCGGCAGTAAACTATAACTTAAACTCGGGCACGGACTCGAGTCCACTGTAAAGTCCTCATAAAACATTTTCTTTACTTTCACTGTGAAAACTGTCAATTTTCAAGAAATACATTTCGATTTATAACCTTTATAATCTGTGTTTATAAAATATAAAAATGTGACATTTGACGGTGACACAGAGATTCCCCTATTGTTTCATAGATGCGCTCTATACAAATTTTTGATTTAAATCATTTTAAGCTAATAATAAGTATTTGTCGTAGAAAAAGTATAGTATGCACCTCGTTTATAAACTTTTATCGGTTATTTAGGACCGAATTTTAAAAAATAAAAGTTTTTGAAATTGTTAGTTTAGTATCTACAATTTTTTATCAACGAACGAAAATAAAAAGGTTTACGTAAAAACAAAAGAAGGTGTATAATTCGAAAACTGAAAAGAAAAATATTTATTTGAAAAAAGTGTTAGTCCCGATGGGATCACAATCCACACAACAAGGTCTGTTATATCTCGTTTCGCGCATACTAAAATTAACGAAGTTAGGCAACCCACTGCACAAAGTCTAACGGCGGCCATTTTTAGGTTGTTAACAATTCTTGTGCTTCGGGTTTGTGCGGTTTATACATATTAAAACTCGTTTTAAACGTTGTGTTTCTTACAGAGGCACTTGTAAGCCTCAAATGAGGCATTTAAGTGTCTCTTTTGTAAAAAATAAACCTTATTCTACCAGGGCTGTCATCAAACTGTTAAATGTTAATTTTAAGGTTAATTTACCATACCCAAAAATTAACCTTCACTTTAAGGCCTTATTTGAGGCTTATAAGTGCCTCTGTAAGAAACACAACGTTTAAAACGATTATTAATCCGTATACACAGCACAAGAATTGTAAACAACATAAAAATGGCCGCCGCTAGAGTATGTGCCTAACTTGGTTATTTTTAGTATGCGCGATACGAGATAAAACAGACCTTGTTGTATGGATTGTGGATAGGATTACAACATCTATTACCTAAAACATAAAACTCAAAAAATAACTTTAAACCATGCATCAGCAAGTTGGCTAGCAGAGCTGGGAATATCTTGAAAAAAAAGATACTTAAAAGTAACTTAAATACTTTATCTTAGATACTTTTTTATATTGGACAGAAAGTATCTATAACTTTGATACTTTGGAAAAGTATCTTGTAACTTTTATCTAAAAAAGTATTTAAATTAACTAAGATACTTTTTAAAGTAACCTAGACACTTTTCAGTGTAACTTAGATACTTAGAGAAAATTGGGGGATTCCAGAATGATTCAAAGTAATTACCTAATCAAAAACTTGTTGAATTTTCATAATTTTATAGTTTTTTTTTCATACTTAAAAGTACCTAACTCAGTAATTCAAAAGTATCTTAGTTACTTAAAAGTATCTTAGTTACTCAAAAGTATCTTATATACTTTCGGATAGTATCTTAGATACTTTCTAAAGTATCTTGTAACTAAAGATACTTTTAACTCAAAGTATCTAGTTTTCAGAGGTAACTAAGTTATTTTGCTTAAAGTATCTAGATACTTTTCAGAAGTAACTTTCCCAGCTCTGATGTCTAGTATAAAACTTCGAACGTGACGTACTGTAGTTAAACTTTCGTATAGGAATGGAAGAACCGATGGCGGCGGAAATGAACCCGGAAAAGTGCAAACTGCTGAGCGAGAAAGCGGAAGCGGAAACGCCCGGCAGGCCCGCGCCCACGATACCCAACCATCATCGGGCGGGCAACGAACGTGCTGCGACTGCCGCGAGGGGCAGGGCTCGGTTGGAGTCGACCAGTTTGCAAAAAACTCCGATTATCGACGAACATTTGAAGGATTACCACGAGCACAAGTTGCTGCCCGGTCAGGATCCGTTCGATTTGAAGTATCAGCTTTATGCCGTCGTGGTGAGTAGATTATTTTTTATGATATAAATTACCATTTTAGGATCTCCAAGTTTTTCATGCGTTTAATAATTTTTTACATAATTGGAATTCTTGGGACATTTTGTCCCTATGAGGAAATGTCGGTAGATAATGTTGACGTTTGACATTATAGGTTATGTTTTAAAATTTATTCTACAGTGATCTGTAATTTTACACTGATTTCGAGCTAAATGCGATTAATGGAACCACTCTTACTATGTAGGTTATGTTTCGTAATTTATTGCCAGTACTGTCGGTAGCTTACCAAAGGGCCTTTCCATCTCAAATCAACCATGCAAAAAGAAGGGGTGTTTTATTAAAAAATAAAAAGTTAGTGAAACCTTGATAGAAATATGTTAAAAATGTATGTCAAAAAGTTCCATATTACACTTTATGACACTAGATAAAATACCAAATTTACGAAACGAATTTACTTCTGTATACAATACAATTTAAACATTTAAATTTAATTAAGAGTTTGAAAGTGATATCATTAAAAAATGCATCAATATTTGGTCCCAAATTAAAAAAAAATAGTTTCTGCATACGCTAAAGAAGTATCGTTAGAAGCGCCACCACTCGGCTGTTATCATCGTAACAAAAGTAAAACTTTTGATAATCAGCTGTCAAACGCGTGTGTTAAAAACGAGTGTTTTTGAGAATAAAAAATATCGAAAAAAACCGTGTCACGATTTGTTGTGTTGTTGGATGTATTTCGAGAGGAAATCCTGGGTTGAGTTTTTATCGGTTTTCCAATAAACAGTGAAGAAATAAATTTCATACAATCCCTGTAAATATAAATTATATCTATTAGATACAATAAATACACATTTTAGTAGTGATTAACGTGAAAAGTGTAAACATTTCAATTTAGTAATAATCGTCAAACAAATAAGTCGTCTAAATTTAAACAGCATTTAGCATTAACGGTAAAATACCATTATATTATGTATTATATATAATATTATGTTCCCATGAATTCATAGGTATATTTTGTTGTTTGAAATGCAGTGGTCGGCGTTTTTTAGAGAAAATATAAAAATTGTTGATTTTAAGGTTATGTTTATGCAAAAATTATGTTTTACTAATTTCTTAATAATGTCCAAACTTAAATATAAATTATATTAGGGACATTTCCTTTGTAACGGGTGCGACACTAAAACTGCGTTTTTTATAATAATAAAGTGTTTGTTCATATATATCAAGATACGTTAATATAAAAAAATAGTATGAAAAATTAGGTATTTAACTCAAACAAAATGTCAAGAAACCCTTTTATAACGTCATGAATAGCGTAACGGGCGCGACATTAGAAAATCGGCAAGTGCGACCAAGTTGGGCTCTATAGTTGATACTGTAAAATTTTGGATGAAAGCATATATATATACAGGGTGTCCCAGAACTCGCGCCACAGAGAAAAAGGGAACGTACCGAAAGTAATTTGAAACACATATTTAAAAATTCAAATTGTCCAACGCAAAGGATAAGGGAGATAAGAATAAAAAACGATAGCCAATTCCAATAGATCACCACAGGGAATTCTTTAAATTGCTAGGATACTTAGGTTGCATTGTTGCAATAAAAAATATGTAAAATATTTGGTCCACTGGAATCCAATTCATTGTAACGCTGCTGTCAATCTTTAATTCTGTCATTAATATTATATTAGGTTATAAATTAAGTTATTATTGACAATGCTGTCAATCTTTACTTTTGTCATTAATATTGTACCTATTAGGTAATAAATTAAGTTATTATAATAGTATATTATGTATCAAGTTTTATAAACGCCATTTTAGTTACGAATTTAATTAAGCACGAGCGAATCTTGCGAGCGAGTGTTTAATAAAAACGAGTGTCTAGAGAAGTTTATAAACGAGTTGCATACTATACTTTATCTACGACGATCATAAAACAGAATTTAAAGCCAATTTTATTTGTTAAAATTTTGACATCTGTCAACTGTCACCCGAATTTAACCTCACTTTTTCCCAATTTATAATAAAGCTAACTTCAGCCCGTGACGTAAAATGTCGAAAAGCCACTGTTGTTAACTTCAGCCAGTCAATAAAACGCCATAAAGTTACAGCTCGTCAATGTAGGAGTAGATAAATAATGTTTTCCTTGATGATTATACCGAAATGATAACTATTTATGGGGAGCGTGGGCGCAAAAAAAGCTAAATAAAGTACAACTGGTTTGATTTTTTACTTTAAAACATTGGCGTTCTGAAGTATCAGTCATAGATTAATAACCTCATTTTTTGAAAGCTTTTGACAACTTAGTAAATACAGTTGGCCAAAAGATTTTTAAACGTTTTTAAGACAACAATGTTCTATCGTCTCCTAGCAATTTTTAAAGCTCCTACGTTTAACCTAGGCGAGATGTCTCGGTATTGGCTGCCGCTGTTTTGCTCTCATTCGATTATACTATTACCTAGAAATTTTTTATTTTTAAATTTGGCATCTCCATTGCTATCGGCACGCCCCCTTTTTCTCTGTGGCGCGAGTTCTGGGACACCCTGTATATACTATACTATACTATATAGTTATAATTTTTTTTGTGTAAAACTTGAATAGTAACCTTAAACAAGCACGTATTTTAAATGCATAAAAATTCCATACATTATTTTCTAAAATTTTCTTAAAATTTAACGGGTGCGACATTTGAACATTTTATCGAGTACTGAAACTGTGTGTTTATTCTTAATGTTAGCTTCTTAGCATCACAATGTACGAATATTTTAAGGTTATAAATTACGTCGCAATTAAACTATTTTACTTATTTTGTTAAATAACACATCTGATTATTTTGTCAAGGTTGGGTAAGGTTTCGTGGAAATACCCTTAGGTAAAGTTATCATTGGTTAATTCTGCACCAACAAATGTACTTACCGAATTGGATCCTTTGGCAAAACATGAAAATGCAACGATTTAGTTTTTGAATTTTATTAAGTACAATTAAAAACACAATAATTCACCATGATCACTTAGATAAAATACACACACTAACGTAACTACATAAGCATTTAAGCGTTGAGTTTCTTAATCAATGATATAAAGAATAATCAATCGGAATCGAGTACTAAACCAGTTTTTTAGTTTTTTTCCTGCAACGTAAAACTAGATAAAATACCCGATACTTCTTTAGCGTACACTGTTTCTGGTAATTACTGGGCGATTCCATATAAGATTGGTTGTGTCACAACTTGTGTGTATGTTACGAGTCTACGATGTCTCTTATGCCCGTATGCACCGTATGGACTTAATCTCGATTAGGAGTTTAATCTCGCTTAGTTCGAAAATTTATCATGCACCGCGCGAAAAATGTTTAAGTGTTCCATTACGGGATCCACCGGCGAGGTAGGTTTAATCGCAGGATTAACTGATTTTCTAACCAAATTTTTGGTTCCAAACTTCAAAAGTAGATTTCAAAAACTAGTAATAGTAGAAATAGTAAAAAATATAATTAAATAATGGATTTAGAAGAAGAACTATTTGTAGAAGATGATCAAGATATTCTGGACATAATTAATTTTGGATTTCCGCGACAAAATTATTAAAGGAGCGAATATTTTGACACCATGGACAATTTTTCGTTTTTTCGCCGATTTCGATTGTCTAAACCCACCGTTCTAAACTTTCTTAATGAAATTAAATATTGAAGCCCAGTTCTGTTAGTTTTTTTTTGTCTTCCAATATTTTAGAATACCTCATAACAATCATCATTAGATTTTCTTTTTCCGCTGGTGAAAAGTTAGAAATTCTGGTCTCCCATTTTATAGACAGACGAAGGATTCCATATAAAAGTTATTGTATATTGGGCACATAACAAAATTTAAATTTTAGTTTGTCAACATAGTTTGTTTCTCTATGGTTGTCAATCGATTTGAATGTACGATTGACTGTTTTTGTGGTTTTTTGACAAATAAAACAGCTTTGCCAAATCGCCAATCCAGATTGCACAATCCGCGTACGGTGCATTATGATGGAAAAAGATTAACATAATCGCGGTTTGCTAACTAGGCTTAGGCTTTAAAACGGTGCATACGGGCATTAGTGTCTGTCTAAAACCCGGCGATTTCTTTCAGAGCCACTCTGGCCTGATGAGCGGCGGCCACTACATATCGTACGCGTGCAACCCGAACGGCAACTGGTACTGCTACAACGACAGCTCGTGCCGCGAGGTGCTGCCCGACGCCGCCGCCGCGGCGTCGCAGCCGAGCGGCGAGTCGAACGCGTCGACGTCGAGCGGCGCCAGCAGCCGTTGCTCGCCTCACTCGGGCGGCTGCACTCCCCTCGCGCGTCGCAAGAACATGCAGCGCAGGCGCAGTTCTTCGGGCGGCAGCAGCAACGGCACGGCGGACACGTCGACGCCCTTGACCGCCAGGAAGGGCTCGCTCAGCAACACGCCCGAGCTGGACAGGAGAAAAGTGAGTAGAATTTCTATATTTAACGAGTTTTTATTTATTTTTCCCAAGCAAATTTTAGACACTCTTTAAACTTTTTACATTTTAAAATTTGAAAAACTGACCAATCACTGTACTTAAAGCTATTTGTAATTTAATGCACTGTTACATCAAGCTTAAGACTTTTTTAGAACCAAAAAGGCCTATTTTTGCAACGATAATAACACCTAAAGGTTTTATTATAATTGCTTTATTGGGGTCAATAAAGCTAGTTAGCATGTAAGCAGTTTTTTTAAATTTTTGCAACAATACAGGGATATGCAGACGACACACAATAACGTTTTTGTTTAAAAAAAAAATGGTTTCACAGATGACATCTTCTCCGGTTTTGAAGCGCGACGGCACGCCTACTTTCGGTCGCAAAGACTCGATGCAGAGGCGCGAAAGCAGCAGCGGCATCGAATCGGACATCGTCGGTTCGACGGAGAACATGTCCGGTTCGCATTCGGACGTTTCCGGCGCTGAAGAGACGTCCAGCCGGAAAAGCGCGAGTCGAGACTCGTCGCCCTACTCCTCCACCAGGTCGCTGTTCAGGTACGAAACCTTTTTATTTACTAAGGGAAGAATGTACAGGGTGATCCCCTATAATGTCGCCCCTTTAACTTTTTTATTTTAAGTGTCCCAAAAAATTTAAAAGTGTGGTTATGTAGGAACTAAAAAATACTTTTTTTCTACGTATAAAGAAAATTGGAAAATTGATCAGTATACAGGGAAAACAAAAAGTTTATTTTTTTCAATGGATCACCCTATATATGGATTTATTTTTCGATTCCTTGTAAAATTCTAAGCATATTTCATATAACATACCATATACCTAAATTCAATCGTTTCTGAAATATTTAAATTATTTTTAAGATAATAAGTTGAAATAGTTTCTCTTTCTCTGTCTGAGTACGCCATTTTTACTTATTTAACAACACATATTGACATAATGTCACTATAGTAATCTATTTTAAATAAAAATTTTGGTATACTGAGGCTTCTTGATTTTTAACAGTTTAAAAAAACATTTAATGATGACATTTCGAATGCGAATATTTCAGAAACGGTTGAATTTAGGTATATGGTTTGTATATAAATTATGCTCAGAATTTTACAAGGAATCGAAAAATAAATTCATATATAGGGTGATCCATTGAAAAAAAATAAACTTTTTGTTTTCCCCTGTATACTGATCAATTTTCCAATTTTCTTTATACGTAGAAAAAAAGTATTTTTTAGTTCCTACATAACCACACTTTTAAATTTTTTGGGAAACTTAAAATAAAAAGTTAAAGGGGGGCGACATTATAGGGGATCACCCTGTACTATATGGGTCATTATAGTTTTTAGCCCCATCTACCTCTAAAATATAAATATTGCACATTTTAATATCCAATGCGACTATTATTTAGGCAAACTAAAGGTAATTCTAATGTCGCTGGTTTTTTTGCAAGACTATCCTAAGTCCATTTTTAAAAAATTGTAGAAAAACACTATTAAACATTTCTATTTATTGTAACTAAATTGTTTTTTGCGTCATTATTTTAAAAATTGGAATGTTTTACATCCAAAGATTAATAAATAAATACTTATTATATAATTTATTAACCTTTAGATGTAAAGCCTTCCAATTTTTAAAAGAATGATGCAAAACACACTTTAGTTACAATAAATAGAAATGTTTAATAGTGTTTTTCTCCATTTTTTTTTAAATGGATTATCAGTGCAGCGTGAAAAAAGCGTGACATTTTTCACAATAAAAAAATATATTTTCCAAGTGACACAATAAATGCATATACAACATTGCATTAACTAAAAAGAAAAAAATTGGTTCACTTTACATGAAAAAGAAAATTAAATACTGCAAATACTTACCGAATAAATATCGTGACGAAAGATAATCTTCAAAAACGCACTTTGTTTGTAACGCGCAAAATAACAATCTCGTGCCAAAGTTTTAAACTACATGGGTTACAGAGTTCTTTTATATGTAATTCTATAATCCAATGTATTTTATAACGAAGCTTTTTTTATTTAGGCGGTTTTTGACGAAACAGACATTAAATATAAGGACAAGGCTTGGTCACGCTTAAAAAATTATTCACAGACATTTAATCACTTTCTTTATTAGTAGTGAGGAGCTACTTAAGTACTTAATAATTATTTGTTATTTCATTTTAGTTTTAGAATTCTGTTTCATACAAAACCTATGAAATATATCCAAGTGATGCTAACTTTTAACCTTAATTAAGACATTAAAAATAATGTTATATTTAATTAAAAAAATTCTTGTTATTTTAAGTTATTTATGAATCTAGTTCTATATTAGCTGTCTCAATTTTTTTTTTTTTTTAATAAGAAATGTTAGGGACTACTGACAAATGACAAAAAGCCCTAATAGTATAATGACCCATATATAGATTGCGGCTGCAAATATAGTCCATGAATTGGTAAGGGCTTATTTAAACAGCATAAAACCAAATTTGCAACACCTGACAATTTTTTTTACAAAGATAACGCAAAAATACATTTTTTCAGTTTTTCGTGAATATCTTTGTCCCCGTATACTGCACCATAAAAAGTTAAAAATAACATTATTTTTTATTAATTTCCTATAATTTTTGTCTTAAGTGTTTTTTGTTTATTCTGACAAAAAAAAATGTTTGATCTACCAACCATGGTTTGTCTAACAAGATACTTCTTATGGGTGTAAGAGCGCGGCCATGTTAAATAATAAAGAAGGTACAAAATGTTAATCATAATAATTTATCATAAAGTTTGCGAAATTTTTGCAAAAAAGTGAAAAAAATTTTGCTTATTTATTTAAAAGTATTTTTGCGTATACAGGGTGTCACCAAATTAGTTGTCATCCTTTAAGAGGATGTTAGCACACGCCAAAATAAAAGTTTTTCCTTTATCATTTTTGCGATAGTGCCATTATTTAAAAAAAATCATTAAAATTCGTTTAAGTAAAGGGCCGCCACTGGTTCCTGACCTATGACAACCGACGCAAAATATGCTTGCACAGTGAGCAATAATCTACATTCATTAAAAATTTACATTTATGTTATCATTGAATACTTTGTTGATAATTGTTTTTAGTTTTGCATAATACAGCTAATTTTAGGTACTTTAAAAAAGCAATACTAACTTTTTATTGTTAGGTATCTCGAGGTTTTTCTGTTGATTTTAAATTTCAATTTTTACGGCAATTAATGCTCATGTAGCTATTTTTAAGTGTTCCACAAAATCACAATAAATGTTCAACTATCCCGCCGTTATTATACACACAAAGTTTAAAAGATTACTTGATATTACATAATACAATGTTTCTTTTTTGCTTGGATGAATAATATTGTTTTTAGAGGTAAAAAAAAAATGATGCTATATAGGGTAGGTCCAAAAAATTTCATTAAAAACAGTAGCTCTAATGCCAAAATGATAGAGGAAAAACTTTCTTGTTTTGTCATGTACTATCATCCCTTCAAAGGATGACAATTTAGTATGTGACACCCTGTATCTTTGTAAAAAAAATTGTCAGGTGGTGCAAATTTGGTTTTAATAATTTCAAATAAGGAACTTATCGATTCATACAAAAAAAAACAGAAAAAAGGCCGTAAAAGTGTTGACAATACGAACTTCCAGGTCCAGATGCCCGTACAACGAAACGAAAGTGCCGAAAATCGACACGAGCGCCGCCTACATCCTGTTCTACGAACGATCCGGGCTCGATTACAAACCGTACTTGCCGAAGGTCACGCCGAACGCGGACCGAACGGCCCCGATCGCCGAATCGGACGATTCCGACGTCAAACAACAGTGCTCCGTGCAGTAGGAAGGTGAAATAAAATTAATTGACCGTTGTTGATTTTCTTGTTGAGTTTTTCTGTTAACGCGCCGCCAATTTGTTTTTTTACAAATTCACTAATTAATCCAGTTTAGTCGTACGGTTGAACGAGATTATTATTCCTGGGTAAAGTTGCGCAATATTTTAAAGTTTATAATGAGTTTTATTGATTTAAATAATGTTAAAATGCACTGATATTTTGAAGCAATACTTTGGCCATATTAAATATTATCTTGACGTTTTTTTTAGTTAATTTTAATTAATAATGATAACGAAATGAAATTCTTGTCCGATTTCATTTTATCATACATGAGGGTAAAAAGCGATTTAGTTTTTTGTGTAACATCAAAATTTTATATCGCATTATTTCGGTCTCAAGAATATGTGGTATCATTTTGTACAGGAATTTGTATAAGATTTTCATGGTACATCAAAGAAAAAACTGCATCGCTTAATTTCTCTTGTTAACATTTGGTTATAGTATTATTTATATATTTGTTATTTTATGAAAGATTTTTACAGGGGACGCAATTGGGGGGTTATTAAATGCGCACCCTGTAGGACATTTATATTTAAAAATGATGTGATTAAATGAGGAGCCTAAAGTTTTTAACAATGTTTTGCGTTGTAATTAAATATGTTTGTTTAATTTTAATTGTGTCATGTATTTTTCGACACTTGTATAAAAAGTTTAGTAAAACCAAAGATATTTTATTCATTTGTAAATTTTTTCATCGATTTTGTATGAATTTATATATATAGGAATATATATAATACTGTTTATATTGTATGGAATATTAATTATTGCGACAATTAAATGATTAAATGGCGATAAAAAATATTCCACCATTGCTGTGCACTGCTCTTATTATTCAAAATTTTTTGGGCGGTTTTATCAAATAAAATTAATTGATGCCTAACTAGTCTGATATTTTTTTAAATTCCACTTTATTGTAATACGTGTTTTGAACACTATCAAATATTCCATTTGAATGTGTAAGTTATGGTGCCATTTATAAATAAATGCTTGTATATTGTTATAAAATGTTGTTTTATTTACTTTCCTACATTTCGTCACACATGGAGGGTGATTTTCAAAAAATTTTAATCTTTAAGGCATTGATATATTTTTGAAACCTTGGGAACCATAGAACATAAGCAGCTGACTTAAGAAGATTCAACTCTCATACAAAATACTGACTTTAAAGAAGATTCAGACATTCAACAAGTTGTTGTTTTGCTTACCTGTTTTTTGGAGTAATAATTGTATTCTTTTGTGTATTTCGACGTCAAACAACAGTGCTCCGTGCAGTAGGAAGGTAAAATTAAATTAATTGACCGTTGTTGATTTTCTTGTTGAGTTTTTCTGTTAACGCGCCGCCACTTTGTTTTTGTTACAAATTCACTAATTAATTCAGTTTAGTCGTACGGTTGAACGAGATTATTATTCCTGGGTAAAGTTGCGCAATATTTTAAAGTTTATAATGAGTTTTATTGATTTAAATAATGTTAAAATGCACTGATATTTTGAAGCAATACTTTGGCCATATTAAATATTATCTTGACGTTTTTTTTTTAGTTAATTTTAATTAATATTGATAACGAAATGAAATTTTTGTCCGATTTCATTTTATCATACATGAGGGTAAAAAGGCGATTTAGTTTTTGTGTAACATCAAAATTTTATATCGCATTATTTCGGTCTCAAGAATGCGTGGTATCATTTTGTACAGGAATTTGTATAAGATTTTCATGGTACATTAAAGAAAAAAACTGCATCGCTTAATTTCTCTTGTTAACATTTGGTTATAGTATTATTTATATATTTGTTATTTTATGAAGGATTTTTGCAGGGGACGTAATTGGGGGGTTATTAAATGCGCACCCTGTAGGACATTTATATTTAAAAATTATGTGATTAAATGAGGAGCCTAAAGTTTTTAACAATGTTCTGCGTTGTAATTAAATATGTTTGTTTAATTTTAATTGTGTCATGTATTTTTCGACACTTGTATAAAAAGTTTAGTAAAACCAAAGATATTTTATTCATTTGTAAATTTTTTCATCGATTTTGTATGAATATATATATATAGGAATATATATAATACTGTTTATATTGTATGGAATATTAATTATTGCGACAATTAAATGATTAAATGGCGATAAAAAATATTCCACCATTGCTGTGCACTGCTCTTATTATTCAAAATTATTTTTGGGCGGTTTTATCAAATAAAATTAATTGATGCCTAACTAGTCTAATATTTTTTTAAATTCCACTTTATTGTAATACGTGTTTTGAACACTATCAAATATTCCATTTTAATGTGTAAGTTATGGTGCCATTTATAAATAAATGCTTGTATATTGTTATAAAATGTTGTTTTATTTACTTTCCTACATTTCGTCACACATGGAGGGTGATTTTCAAAAAAATTTAATCTTTAAGGCATTTATATATTTTTGAAACCTTGGAAACCATAGAACATAAGCAGCTGGCTTAAGAAGATTCAACTCTCATACAAAATACTGACTTTAAAGAAGATTCAGACATTCAACAAGTTGTTGTTTTGCTTACCTGTTTTTTGGAGTAATAATTGTATTCTTTTATGTATTTCGACGTCAAACAACAGTGCTCCGTGCAGTAGGAAGGTAAAATTAAATTAATTGACCGTTGTTGATTTTCTTGTTGAGTTTTTCTGTTAACGCGCCGCCAATTTGTTTTTGTTACAAATTCACTAATTAATCCAGTTTAGTCGTACGGTTGAACGAGATTATTATTCCTGGGTAAAGTTGCGCAATATTTTAAAGTTTATAATGAGTTTTATTGATTTAAATAATGTTAAAATGCACTGATATTTTCAAGCAATACTTTGGCCATATTAAATATTATCTTGACGTTTTTTTTTTAGTTAATTTTAATTAATATTGATAACGAAATGAAATTTTTGTCCGATTTCATTTTATCATACATGAGGGTAAAAAGGCGATTTAGTTTTTGTGTAACATCAAAATTTTATATCGCATTATTTCGGTCTCAAGAATGCGTGGTATCATTTTGTACAGGAATTTGTATAAGATTTTCATGGTACATTAAAGAAAAAAACTGCATCGCTTAATTTCTCTTGTTAACATTTGGTTATAGTATTATTTATATATTTGTTATTTTATGAAGGATTTTTGCAGGGGACGTAATTGGGGGGTTATTAAATGCGCACCCTGTAGGACATTTATATTTAAAAATTATGTGATTAAATGAGGAGCCTAAAGTTTTTAACAATGTTCTGCGTTGTAATTAAATATGTTTGTTTAATTTTAATTGTGTCATGTATTTTTCGACACTTGTATAAAAAGTTTAGTAAAACCAAAGATATTTTATTCATTTGTAAATTTTTTCATCGATTTTGTATGAATATATATATATAGGAATATATATAATACTGTTTATATTGTATGGAATATTAATTATTGCGACAATTAAATGATTAAATGGCGATAAAAAATATTCCACCATTGCTGTGCACTGCTCTTATTATTCAAAATTATTTTTGGGCGGTTTTATCAAATAAAATTAATTGATGCCTAACTAGTCTAATATTTTTTTAAATTCCACTTTATTGTAATACGTGTTTTGAACACTATCAAATATTCCATTTTAATGTGTAAGTTATGGTGCCATTTATAAATAAATGCTTGTATATTGTTATAAAATGTTGTTTTATTTACTTTCCAAATTTCGTCACACATGGAGGGTGATTTTCATTATGCCAACTTTTCATTCAAAAATTCATTTCAAAAATTTGTTATCTTAAAGACATTGATATGTTTTTGAAACCTTGGAAACCATAGAACCTAAGCTTAAGAAGATTCAACTCTCATACCAAATACTGACTTTAAAGAAGATTCAGACATTCAACAAGTTGTTTTGCTAACCTGTTTTTTGGACTAATAATTGTATTCTTTTGTGTATTCCGACGTAAAACAACAGTGTTGCGTGCAGTAAGGATACAAGAGAGGTAAAATAAAATTAATTAACCGTTGTTGATTTTCTTGTTGAGTTTTTCTGTTAACGCGCCGCCAATTTGTTTTTGTTACAAATTCACTAATTAATCCAGTTTAGTCGTACGGTTAAACGAGATTATTATTCCTGGGTAAAGTTGCGTAATATTTTAAAGTTTATAATGAGTTTTATTGATTTAAATAATGTTAAAATGCACTGATATTTTGAAGCAATACTTGGGCCATATTAAATATTATCTTGACGTTTTTTTTAGTTAATTTTAATTAATAATGATAACGAAATGAAATTCTTGTCCGATTTCATTTTATCATACATGAGGGTAAAAAGCGATTTAGTTTTTGTGACACCTTCAAAATTTTATATCGCATTATTTCGGTCTCAAGAATATGTGGTATCATTTTGTACAACAGGAATTTCTGGTACACCTTGTATAAAATTTTCATGGTACATCAAAGAAAAAACTGAATCGCTTAATTTCTCTTGTTAACATTTGGTTATAGTATTATTTATATATTTGTTATTTTATGAAAGATTTTTACAGGGGACGTAATTGGGGGGTTATTAAATGCGCACCCTGTAGGACATTTATATTTAAAAATGATGTGATTAAATGAGGAGCCTAAAGTTTTTAACAATGTTTTGCGTTGTAATTAAATATGTTTGTTTAATTTTAATTGTGTCATGTATTTTTCGACACTTGTATAAAAAGTTTAGTAAAACCAAAGATATTTTATTCATTTGTAAATTTTTTCATCGATTTTGTATGAATATATATATATATAGGAATATATATAATACTGTTTATATTGTATGGAATATTAATTATTGCGACAATTAAATGATTAAATGGCGATAAAAAATATTCCACCATTGCTGTGCACTGCTCTTATTATTCAAAATTATTTTTGGGCGGTTTTATCAAATAAAATTAATTGATGCCTAACTAGTCTGATATTTTTTTAAATTCCACTTTATACGTGTTTTGAACACTATCAAATATTCCATTTTAATGTGTAAGTTATGGTGCCATTTATAAATAAATGCTTGTATATTGTTATAAAATGTTGTTTTATTTACTTTTATACATTTTGTCACAGGTAAGTACTGATTTCAGATACGTAGCGAAATTAAAATATTTTAGGCATTACCAAATACTGACTTTAAAGAAGATTAAGATATTCAACAAGTTGTTGTTTTTTTGTCTACATTTACAAAATTTACGAACGAATAACATAATTTAAATAACCATCAAACATGACGATAACAATTTAAATTTTTCTTCGTCTTCATTATTTACTTTACCGACTGAAAAATTTCACTGACAATTCAAATTCACTTTGGCAGCATCAAAATCATGGACAAATAAGAGGGACCCAAGCCACTGGGTTTTTTAGGGTTTTATAAGTAGGGTTTATTGTTTTTTTAATTCTATACAGATTTTAGTGAAAAAACATTTAAAAAGAAATACTGTTTATAAAAAAAATCAAGTATGTCCACAGTGAAATCTGTATAAAAAAGAATTTTCTCATTTTCGCGGTCATTCGTCAACTACAAAATGCAGGTGGAAATCCCGGAACTTTTGTTTGATCATTTTTTTTTATTCCAAATTAGAATTTCTAATAAATTAAAGCAGTTTTAGCTAACCACTCAACAAGACTTTTTCCAATTTTGTCTTTCATGGGTCAAAAAGTCATCTGTGTTTAACACTATCTCATTGAGCGAACCGCACACCACGAAGGACAAAACCCGAACCAAGAATGTGGTGTATTGTTTTTTTTACAAAATACAACTATAAAATAGTTCAAAATTAAGAAGAAAATAACACTTCTAAAAAAAATGTGCGGGCTTTTTTAAATGGGTTTTACAGTGGAGGAGTATTTATTATATATAATAAGCAGCTGGTGAAAAAAGAAAACTTGTGCAATTTAGTTCGTACCCCTCGTGTAGACTCCATGATCACAATATTGAGGTGAATAAAAAAATCTGAGTTTCTGGAAATTCTTTTTGAAAAAAATATGCTAAAAAACCCAAGGGTTAAGGTTAAATAAAAGTCAATGGTAAAGAGTTATTAAAACTGTATTCAAATATCACAGATTTTTTCACAATACTTTTTGGTAATTTAGTCTTGGTATAGTTGCTACAGCAAAACAATATTACTGGAAGTTTCTTTAACTTTCATATGTTGTTTTTTAACTGATATGTTTATTTTGACATTAAATTAAACTTCAGTAAAACTTTGTCTGCTGTTTTGTCTTGTTTGGCAGTTTTTGGATGATTCAGTTTCTTTACATCGCGTACATTACTTTTGTCCTCCATGGTACTATGTAGCCAGTATATCCATATCTAAATAGAAAAAAACATTAATTTTTGAAAATTATTAACTTTACGTGGATGATTTCTAATGAAAAGTGAATTTTGTTTAACGAAAAACATTGACATCCAAAATCAAAGCAACAATCTAACATTTTAAAATTTTAGTCTATTAAGGTCATTTGCACATTCTTCATAACTGAATTTTAAATTTTTTAAAAACATTTATTTAGGATCATTTTTGCAAAGTAATGAATATTTTTAAATATGAAACCCAATAATAGTACACTCCAAACTGGCTAGATTTTGGATTTGGTATTCCTGACAAATTCCCGTGTAGTCTAAGCAACTTTAATTTTTTACCAGACGGTCAATATTTCTAAAACTTTGTAAATGTCTTTTTAGTAGACTCTACTTTATAAAAAAAATGCTAAAAATAAAAGTTGTAGTCGAACTTTCGCCTTTTTAGGAAGTGAATATAAAGTTTTGCCTGTAAAAATAATTTAAATTTTAAAGCTATATTTTTTGTTTTAACGATTTGTTTGTCCAATAGAAAAAATATAAAACGATTCATTTATTTAACCCTTTAGACCACCAGAAATACATATCATATCGAAAATCGAACCAGATCGGAATTTTATCGATTTACCCCCTGATTTTTTGACAGACTGGTGGTCCAAAAGGAACCTTTAATAATTTGAGAATCAATTAAAAACGTTAAATAATATTAATTTTCTTAATAAAGTTATAAACTCGCCAGTCATAGTGAATTGAAATTGCAATTTTACTGTGAAAAGTTATATTTTACGAAAATCTAAGGCGTATTTTAAAAATGTAGAGAACATTTTTTTAGATCATTGGCGTACCTTTTTTCTATGAAAAGCGATATAAAAAAACAATTCTCGCCTAATTTAAATACTAATATTCTGTTCTTTAAGAGTAATTTAATAATTTCAAAACCTTGTATTTCTGAAACTGTTAAGTTTTTGATACAAGCTTAACAAGAAAAATAATGTTTTTTAACGTTTTTTATTCATTCTCAAATTATTAAGGTTCCGTTTGGACCACCCCGTATATAGTTATAACTTCACAAACCACACAACAAGGTCTGTTCTATCTCGTTCGGCGCATACTAAAAATCACGAGTGCCTCTGTAAGAAACACAACGTTTAAAACGAGTATTAATCTGTATAAAGAGTACAAGGTGAATTGTAAACAACATAAAAATGGCCGCCGATAGAGTCTGTGTAGTGGGTTGCCTAACTTCGTGATTTTTAGTACGAGATAGAAAAGAGACTTTATTGTGTCAGAAAAGAAAACCTTAACATCGCTAAATTGAAATCTAAGGTGTTTCAGAAATGTCAAAAAGTCGAAGAATTCCTAATTTATTTTCTTCAGAAAAAATCCGGAGTAAAATATTACTACTACGATTTCTCAAGTCAAACTGTACTGTACTGTACACTTAGGAAATATTTAAAAAAGTAAATTTGCAATGAATGAATACTAATACTGTCAAATTCATTCCCCAATGACGTAACACCATTGTAGGGTAAAGTAGACAATTATCGGACACTTTATAGTTATTGGACAATTAACATTAATACTGTAAAAACGAGAGTTCTATAAATAGTTACCTCAAAGTCAAATCATTAGATGACGCTGTATACAATTATAAATATCTCAGTCGGTAATAATATAGAACTGCTTTATTTTGGGTCCAATATAGGACAAAAAAGTTCGCACGTTACTTTGGTGGTAAGATTTTTGTTTTTTTGTTAAGAGCAGGGCTGTGTTTAATTTACAATAAAAAATATTTCTAAAAAGTGTACAGATCTGGGTGTGGTATAAATGTGTTCCTCATGGTTTAAACATTGTCACTTTAATGCGTTTTAATTTTAATTCTGAAAACAAACAGTAAAATGGCCAGTGTCCAATTACTGGTTGGTAAAAATGTAAATTTCTATTATTGGACATATGTCCAATATCATACTCTATTCGTATCCCGGACATTTACCAACCAATTCTCGTGTAAAATTGTCCCCTGAATCCGAAAAGACCGTCAAAAACTATAAAAGTTAATCAGTTTTTGAGATATAGTCAATTCCATTTTATATGTAAAATTGATTATATTTCAAAAACTGTTCTACTTTTATAACTTTGTACGACATTTTCGGATTCAGCGAATAATATTTCATAGGAATTGCTTTCTAAATGTCCTGGATACAAATTGCTGTTGACGAGAATTATTAGTGGCTGCTTTTTCGCTATGACATTTTTGACTAATTCATTTTTAGAGAGTAAGTAATATAGTGATTTCTTCGTCACAGGACATCTCTGCAGAATAAAGTGCATGATAGAGAACATAAAAAACTAATGGCAACGAAATGAATAAATTCGGAAAATACTTTTAACATACCACCCGAAAAAATATTAGATATATATACACTCACCGGCACGAAAAACGGAGCAGTTAAACTTTTTTAAACAAATTAAAATTTTAACGATTTGCAATGTTTTATTACTATAATATCTTAAATACAAACAAAACAACATGTTTTAAAGAAATTTATAACAAAAAATAAAAGATTATTTAAAAAGAAAAACTATTTTGTTACAACTTAAAAAACTAGGACGAAAAAACACAAAATGGTGCTGTCGCAAAATGATATTAAATTAGTAAAAACTGAAAACATGTGCTAGCAAAAACTGAAGATCATCATAATTAATAACGGGTGTTGCCTCCACGTGACTGAATTATAGCTTGTATTCTCCTTGGCATGCCTAAAATTAAATGGCGAATGTCCTCTTGAGGAATAAGTTCCCATTCCTCTAAAAGAGCTTGTTCCAACTGATTTAAAGTTAAAGGAGCAGGAACACGATTTCTTATTCTTCGCCCAAGCATGTCCCAAACATGTTCAATTGGGTTCGCATCTGGACTTAACGATGGCCACTCCATAACAGGAATGTTTACATCGTTTAAGTACCGTTGAGTGATTCTCCCGGTGTGAGGTGGGGCATTATCATGCATGAAAAGAAAGTCATCTCCAATAAAACCGACATAAGGGACAACAAAATCTTGTAAAATTTCCTCAATGTACCGGGCAGCAGTTAAGGACCCTCTAGGAACGATGTACAATTCTGTGCGTGCCTCCAAAGAAATTCCAGCCCACACCATAACTGAGCCACCTTGGTATCCTACCCTAGGACTAAACGTACATTCTGCAAAACGCTCGTGTGGTCTTCGCCATACTCTCTCACGACCATCTGGAGACCGTAGGCTAAACCTTGACTCGTCCGTAAACAAAACACGCGCCCATTCATTTTCAGCCCAATGCTCATGATTTCTATCAAATTGTAGTCGCGCAACGCGATGACGCCTAAGAAGCTCTGGACCCGTTGCAGGTCTACGATTAGTAAGATTTGCTTCTCCAAGTCTTCGTCTAACTGTTCGTTCACTTATGTTGGTATTCCGAACGTAATGCAGTTGATTTCTGATTTCTACAGCTGTAGCACGACGATTTCGCAGACTTTGTAAGATAATAAAGCGATCATCCTGAGCGTTACTTCTTCGTTGGGGACCAGTTCCAGGTCGTCTGGTGTAAGCTCCCGTTTCCAAAAAACGTGTATAAATACGGTGAACAGTGCTATTGGATGTGTGATATTGTTGGGCAACATATCTCTCACTTCTTCCGTCTTGAATCAACGCAACAATAGCAGCCGCTGTTTCGGGATTAACGGCCATATTTTTTT